AAACGCTGATCCATCTAAAATGCTTCTCGGCTTGTTTGGCAGAGGCGTAAAAAAACTGCGATGTGGTAATTCCAGTTGAGGACTTGTTTTTCTTCACACATCAATTTGCATACATTTGTGAAAAAGGACTCTGATCCCAAGCAGCTGAGTCACAAAGAAGAGTGCAAAGTGCCCTCGCAGCACAATCCTGATGAATGTGGACCTGGATGCTGAGCAGCCGTATACACTCGGTTCACCCTGACCTTCTGACGCACAGACACATGCTCTTTGGGGATCAGGGAGGAGCATCACATTATTAATGTTATTATAGAGACCTTTAAAATCGACTTTGGCATGTGCACAATTATTTGACAACTACCCTCCTTAACTTCCAAACTTTTGGAACTTTTTAAACTAATGTTTAAGTGCAGAGAAATCCCAAAAAGTCGTTCTGCCTTTTACAGTTTGCTCATATTTTGCGTCAGATTGCAGAGTTGAGCCGTCAGCACATGCTCTCTTTGCTTCAGGGAGATGCACTCTGCACTTTTTATCAGAGCTCAACTCTGTCCACATAAAGATGATGAGCTGGATTGAAGGGGGGGGAGTTTATTGTGCAGTCGAGTCCTTACACATGTGATACAAGTTTCACATTTTATAACAAAGCTTATGTAATGAGCCAGAGAGAGCAACTCAACCAGATAGATAGATAGATAGATACTTTATTGATCCCGAGGGAAATTCAAAGCATCCAGTAGCAGGTTACAAAGACGTACATGACATGAAACATTTGATACAAATTAACCACAAAACCGACGCCCCCCTCCCATACATATATATTAACCCGAAAAAAAAAGATTTAAAGAATACCCCTATGAATCAAACTTAAACTGTGCATTTAAATAAAGAATTATTCAAGAAATGTACATAACCAGTGCAGGGATAAAAATATATGTGAGATTTAAAGAGATAGGATAAGAAACACTCCCATACCTATCCTGCGTTACGACCAAGCCTGTCTCTCCATGCTGATTAAGTGTGTGCCAGGGTGAGTCTCTGGTAGTCCTGGTGTCAAAGTCATATTTACATAGACGGCAGACCTTTTACAACCTACGGACGGTAAAATAAAAATTTCCCTCTAACTGCGAGTTTGTGAATTTCACCTCTTTTGCATAAAATGGGCCAATTGAACTCAAAAAAACAGTACGGGCACATGGAGACTGCATCAGTGAGAGCTGCTCAGTGGCGCAGTCTGGAGTGCATTTAACCCTTTGTGTGGCTTTCTTTCATTTGCTCAGATTTAGCAGGTGCATAAGCCATGCATCTGTTCTTTATGTGTTACATTAACGCCCACTGGACTTTAAAAATGTATTTTCCTTACATGCACTCTGTGAGTAGGTTATATACACATAGTCCATATATATTTTTTATATTTAATATTTTACATTTTTAAATTCAATTTTATACATTACAATATCTTCTTATACTGTATTATTTAAGTTGTTGCTAGTTCTACTTTACTTCCTTGTTAATTGTTTAGCACCAAGTCAAATTCCTTGTATGTGTAAATGTACTTGGCAATAAAACCAGATTCTGATTCTGATTCTGATTCCTTTTGTAGACCAGGTCCTTAATGTCACCTCTTGTGTGTTTGTGTTTTTTTTATTTCTTGCTACAGGATCCCACAAACGGCTACTACAACGTGCGAGCCTCCACCCACGATGAAGGCCGCCCCGCCTCCCGCTCCACCATGCACTACTCGGACTACCGCTCCCCTACAGGAACACCGGGGGGCGCGGCGTCCATCAGCAGCAGCGCCGGCGGTTCAGGAGCCACAGCCAGCGGTGGAGCCCCCGTTCCCCCTGGGCCCCTGACTTCCCCTGGGCGCCCGCAGGCCTGCTACGACCCCAGACCGCCATCCAGACTCTCCCACATCAGCTACGCCCAGTTCAACACGTTCACTCGCGGGGGGCAAAGCCAGCAACCCCCGACTAACCCCGCCCCTGTGGCTGGTGAATTCCAAGGGGACTGCAGCCTGTTGGACTCCAATTCCCAGCTGGCCTACGATAACTACGGATACCCCTCCCATTACCAGACGTACCGCATGGGTTTCGCCCCGTCCAGCCTGGCCCCACTCGAGGCCGGCCCATCCTATGAGATGTACGGGGTGGGGTCAGGTGTTGGGGCACCAGCGGTCAGCGTCAGTCCCGGGGGTCCTCCTCCTCCCCCTGCCCCGGGATCAGAGACTGGACTTGGGAAGTACGGCAGCTCCACTCGCTTCTCCTACACCTCGCAACACTCTGACTACTCCCACAGCCGACACACACAGAGGATGCAGACTCACGTGTGAGACGCAGAAACACACCTCACAGTCTGAGCAGAGCACGAGGACGCATCTTATAAATAGTGTCACACCTTAAAACCCACACACACACACACACACACACACACACACACACACACACACACACACACACACACACACACACACACATCATAGAGGCACACATTTTCACACACTAACACGCCCTACAGAACCCCCCCCCCCAAAAAAAAAAACACATCACACATGCACAGAGTCAGAAGACCATGCCCGTGAGACAGGGAGGGGAAAGAAGGAGTTTTTTAAGCGAGACAGGGAAGGGAAATTCCACACAATTTTTAAATTCCCAAAACTCCCGACGGACGTGTTCGTATATATCCGAGCTCTGAAAGAGAGCGGACAGCGCAAGTCACAATCAAGACTGGGAGAGAGAGAGAGAGCGAGAAGCAGAGAGGAGACGAGAGATCACAGATCTTTTGGAGCTCTATGAACTGACTTTGTAAATGATGAGCGAGAACGTCTTAAGGCAAACCTGACTGACTGTCCAATATGGTACACCCCCCGATCAGGAGAAAACCTCAACCAGTGGAAGTCATTCCTGGCCGCCATTATTTTTTACTTTTTTTTTTTTTGCTGGTTGTCTTATCCATGATCATAGAGCACATATAAATGTAGTCTCCCATACTGCCCTTTGGGTGCATTGGTACATTCCATCCTGCCTGTTAGGCGGCGGCGTGCAGACGGTGGAGTGTGAGTGAGTCGGGGAAGGGGTTTGTCATCATTTTTGCACTTCATCTACAGTATTCATGCATAGACGACGTCCCTTATCTATATCTGTGTATTGTCTTCTTTTTATTTGCACACTTGACTAGAGCTTTGTATTCTATTTTTTAACATTACAGAATTATTTTTGTCAATGTAAAACATGTAAATGTGTATGTATGGACCAAACGTTTTGAACACGAGCCCACATAACTTTGGGGAGTTTGCCTGGGTGATTCCATTGAGACAGGGTGAAGAGTTGTGCCAACAGAAAGATCCTTCATTTCAGGATTTTATTTGAGAGAAGGGTATATCAGTGTATAAAAGAAAAACCTTGTGCCAAGTGTTCATGTTGTTCTTCACCTTAGACCATGTATATGCAGTAGAAGCTCCTTCTATTGGTGACTGTTGCTTTACAAACCAGGCTCCGGGGGTCTTGAGTCATTCCCAGACATTTTTTTTTGTCCGAGCTCTTAACTACACGCCTGGTGCAGACAGAGAGAAAAAAACAACACAGATGTTGGGTTTAGAACTGAGTGGCCTTATAGAGGAACATGTCGTACATTTCCATTTTGAATCATTCCTCATCGTCTGTCTGCCAAAAACGGCCAGAGGAGAAATGCGTAAGGAGAGGTTCAATGAAGGCTTGTCCACAATATTGACATGTAGTAGTGTATGACTGTGACTGTGTGGGTGTGCGAGAGTGTGTGTGAGAGAGAGAGAGAGTTCAAGAGGGAGTGTGTGGGCGTAGGCGCGCACATCGATTTGTACAGTGTGTTTGTATAGATGTGTGAATGACTGCGCGTGTATGGAAGGCATACTGTAAACACACAGCGCCCGACTCACCTGCGTGTGATGAAAGTATGCATCTGTGTGTGTGTGTGTGTGTGTGTGTGTGTGTGTGTGTGTGTGTGTGTGTGTGTGTGTGTGTGTGTGTGTGTGAGTGTGAGTGTGAGTGTGAGTGCATGTCTGTGTCAAAAGCGTGCGGGTGTGAGTTTCAGTATATGTCCATATCATTTCTCTCACAATCCTGTTACAGTACTTTTATACCTCTGGTAGGACTGTATCCTGTATTATTGTGTCTTTGAATTTAGGAAAATCCAATGTTTATCTTATTGTACTGTTCTTCGTAGCAGAGAAAACTGTTCAAAAGATGTACAACGAACGTTATCAAACTCTCATTTTTTAATTTCATTATCTTCAATATTTTTTAAAAATGGTATGTAATTATTTTTCCACAGTATTACATAAATAAAAGCACTGTTTTTTATAAGAAATCTGACTCTGTCCTCTTTTTGGGTGGAAGTGATCACTTCACAGACTACTCTGCGTAAATTCATGCTAAATGTAGACATGATGTCAAAAAATAGTTATAATAAAAATAACTAGCTTGTTTTTATCTGGTAATTATTTGAATTGTTGTTGTTAACCTTTCATGGGGACAAATCGTATGAATGAGAATGGATGCATAATGTAGGATAAAGATGGTCAAGTAGCAATATTATATATGTTGGTCTATAGCTAGGTAAAATAAAAAAGCAGAATTACAAGAGACAATGAATATAGAATTAATGTAATAAAACAAGGGTGAAGTATCACATAATTTTTAAGATAAGATAATCCTTAATTTATCTCACAAGGGGAAATTTACAGTGTTACAGCAGCCAAAAGCAAAGATTGCAAACAGAAAGTGAACACAGCACAATTTAAATAAAAAAAGAAAAAATAAGAATTTACAAAAAAATAGAAACTAAAAATAGATTAAAAAAAATAAAAATAACGTAATAAAAAAAAAAAGTACTTAAAAACGCATATATAGGCTTGTACACTGCATTAACAAGTACGCTTAATTGTATGTGTGGTTATTAGTCATATCGATAGGTGGCAGCACACACCCTAAACTGTTAAAGTTTAAACAGCAAAAGAAGAAACTACAATACGTCATTGGCCAGAGGTTGTCTAACAGCCAAGATGGCTGCCACGATGTTGAGGTCGCTCTCCAAACTAGGACGTCCTTCAACAAAACTTATATTAAATAATAATTTACTGAGCCCTGGTTGCACTGTTCTGCAAAACAGGTAAGATAACAAAGAGGCCAAACAAGACGCTTTATGTCTCCTGTGTGCTGCTTGACGCTTTAGCTTTTAGCTCCTTACAAACACAGAAAGGCTAATGTTAGCATAGTGCTAAAAAGAAAAGAAAAAGCCGACTGGGTGTATTCTCTTTTAAGTCAATATGTAATTCATTTTTCTCAATGGAAGAGAGTTTCTGCACACATATAAATATCGTTGCATTGTCCTCCTTAAAGCTCACATGTCCAGATGGATTATCTGTCCTGTTGATGCTGCTAATGTCCTCATGCTAAAGCTAGCATACAGATTAGCCACCGTGTGTCAGTGTGTACCACTTCACTTGTTTGTTATATTTTCTTTACTCTGTGAGGTCAAATTATGTATCACATTCAAACAGATCATAATAGGTTTGTATACAGTTTAAGGTTAGGAGATTATATCCTAATATATCTGCTTGTTGTTAACTAATGTGGACGAGTAAGAAGTGTCTGTTTACATCTTATGATCAAAGTTTATTTATAAAACAAAACAAATACAGTGATAAGTGAATTATAGCGACTGGACACAAGAAAAAGCTTAAAATAATGACAAATACTTAGGTACAAAAAAATAGAGACAATTGCACACGAACAGCAATAAGAAAATATGTAATTAAAACAATAAAAGGTAAAAGCGTCAACAAAAGAATTAAAGTAAAGCATCAAAAATAACCCAAATATAAATAGTAAAAATATAAAGATAAATAAAAGCATTTAACATGAGTTGATTGAAAGATAATCAGTCAAAAACAAAGTAAACAACACCAATATTATGTAATAAAATTGTAAAACCTTACATACAAGCGAGACTGAATATTTATGTTTTCAGTTTATTATTAACAGTAGGACATTTAAAGTTACCTCTAAGTAGTCCTTTATATTATGTATGTTATAAGAGGGTTTTACAAAGTGGGGATCCCGACCCCCTGGGGGGTCATCAGGGGTCATGGAAACTTCACATAACTGAACATAACATTGTTATATTTATTTTTAGACATCACTGATCACTGTATATGGAAGTGTCAGTTCTTTACTATGACAATCTTTTAATTAAATATCACACGACACATTGAATGTACAACATGAGAAATAAATGTAAGAAACTGTGTTTACTGTTACTATCACTGTTGATTACAACAAAAGACATTGAAATAAAATAAAGAAACATATTAAGAATTTGTGTATTTAATTTTAGATTTTCGCCATCCTAACGTACAGAGAAGGGTAAGTTCGCTAACCTCTGTGTTATAACAATTTATATTGACAGATTTAGTCTTTCTACATTGACCTTTATCATTAGTTCAGTGCACGTTTCTCTCATCATTTACTTCTGATTATAAGTAAGCCAACACAGTACAGCACGGGATCCAAAGAGCAGCCTCAACAAATAAGATTAAAGCCTTTCTGGTTTCATGGCTCCTACACTGCAGTGTTTATGTTGGCACAGAGCTGAGTTCCTGTCAAAACATCCTTCCCCTCTGTTAAGAGACTTTGTAATGTCTTTTACAGGCAGAAACAATGGCAGCCAGACGTGGAGTGGACAGAGCAGTTTGCCGGGGCCGTGATGTACCCCACTGCTGTTAATGAGAATTGGAAGCCACCCCCATGGAATGGTACTTTCAACACACAGCGTTAAGCCGTTTTGCTGAAGATGTCTAGAGAACTTCAGGCCGACTGCCCCTGAAATCCTCTTGATCTGGTTGTTGACACATACACATAACAGCAGGAGACTGTCCCTGGTGGGCGGGGTGGGGTGGGGGGGTCTCCTGGGGCAAGACATGAAAAAAAGTGAGAACACGGCAGATGAAGCACCAGAATCCGCTGTACGACAATATAATGAGAATATTTTCCTTTATATACAGTATCTCACAAAAGTGAGTACACCCCTCACATTTCTGTAAATATTGTATTATATCTTTTCATGGGACAACATTGAAGAAATGACACTTTGCTACAATGTAAAGTAGTGAGTGTCCAGCTTATATAACAGTGTAAATTTACTGTCCCCTCAAAATAACTCAACATACAGCCATTAATGTCTAAAACGCAGGCAACAAAAGTGAGTACACCCCTAAATGAAAATGTCCAAATAGTGCCCAAAGTGTCAATATTTTGTGTGGCCACCATTATTCTCCAGCACTGCCTTAACCCTCTTGGGCATGGAGTTCACCAGAGCTTCACAGGTTGCCACTGGAATCCTCTTCCACTCCTCCATGACGACATCACAGAGCTGGTGGATGTTAGAGACCTTGCGCTCCTCCACCTTCCGTTTGAGGACGCCCCACAGATGCTCAATAGGGTTTAGGTCTGGAGACATGCTTGGCCAGTCCATCACCTTTCCCCTCAGCTTCTTTAGCAAAGCAGTGGTCGTCTTGGAGGTGTGTTTGGGGTCGTTATCATGTTGGAATACTGCCTTACGGCCCAGTTTCCGAAGGGAGGGGATCATGCTCTGCTTCAGTATGTCACAGTACATGTTGACATTCATGGTTCCCTCAATGAACTGTAGCTCCCCAGTGCTGACAGCACTCATGCAGCCCCAGACCATGACACTCCCACCACCATGCTTGACTGTAGGCAAGACACACTTTGTATTTGTATTCCTTACCTGGTTGCCGCCACACACGCTTGACACCATCTGAACCAAATAAGTTTATCTTGGTCTCATCAGACCACAGGACATGGTTCAAGTAATCCATGTCATTAGTCTGCTTGTCTTCTGCAAACTGTTTGCGGGCTTTTGTGTGCATCATCTTTAGAAGAGAAATCCTTCTGGGACGACAGCCATGCAGACCAATTTCATGCAGTGTGCGGCGTATGGTCTGAGCACTGACAGGCTGACCCCCCCACCCCCCCCACCCCTTCAACCTCTGCAGCAATGCTGGCAGCACTTATACGTCTATTTTCCAAAGACAACCTCTGGATATGGCGCTGAGCATGTGCACTGAACTTCTTTGGTCGACCATAACGAGGCCTGTTCGGAGTGGAACCTGTCTTGTTAAACTGCTGTATGGTCTTAGCCACCGTGCTGCAGCTCAGTTTCAGGATGTTGGCAATCTTCTTATAGCCTAGATCCTCAGAGAGTTCTTTGCCATGAGGTGCCATGTTGAACTTCCAGTGACCAGTATGAGAGTGAGAGAGTGATAACACCAAATTTAACAAACCTGCTCCCCATTCACATCTGAGACCTTGTAACGCTAACGAGTCACATGACTCCGGGGAGGGAAAATGGCTTATTGGGCCCAATTTGGACATTTTCATTTAGGGGTGTACTCACTTTTGTTGCCTGCGTTTTAGACATTAATGGCTGTATGTTGAGTTATTTTGAGGGGACAGTAAATTTACACTGTTATATAAGCTGGACACTCACTACTTTACATTGTAGCAAAGTGTCATTTCTTCAATGTTGTCCCATGAAAAGATATAATACAATATTTACAGAAATTGAGGGGTGTACTCACTTTTGTGAGATACTGTAAATGCTGTGTTTAGTTCAACAACAGAGCGGAGCAGAACGTTCTGTTGAACAGAAAACATCATGCAGCCTTTTCAAAACCTGCACAGAGATCACACCAGTCTGTGGTCGTGCACTGTTGACGGGGAATAAACGTCACCACCCCCTCCAACTCGCTCAACGTTTTTTTCCTGATTATATTATATCCTGCGATGTTGTCATATCAGCTCATTTAGACTTTGTGCAGAAGAAGTACTTGGGGGGCTGGCAGGAGAAACTCTGGTTAAAGTCTGTGCAAAATGTCTTAGCCGTTCGCTTTCATAGGTACAGCTCCTCCGATAAACATCAGCACTTTTTCAGGGGTTTTCTGCAAAGAGTGAACAAGCTTAACAGGTTTCAAGCTAGATAAAAAAATTGATTGCAGAGTAAAATATAAAAAGCAGAAAATGTTCTATGTTGTGCTTACAGTATAAAAATCTTCCAGTATAAATCTCCTCACAGTGTGCATGTTAACAGAAATTATCAGCGTGCATTAATGTAACGCACAAAATCTGTTTCAGCCTTCACATTACTGTAATGTACTCTGACTGAGCTGGGGAGGAGGGAGGAGGGCAGGGACATTATTAATGAGGCCCAAACTGTTCTTGTGGCGAGAGGTTTTAGTCTTAATGTACCTCAGCCTCTTACCAGAGACGAGGGTCTTAAACAGTCTGTGTCCGGGGTGAGTCTTTGTGTGTTATGTGGAGAGAAAATCATATTACATCTAGTTTCAAAGTGATCTTAATTATAATATTCAACATTCGTGGGAATTATCATTTTTGTGTATTTGCAGCAAGGGCAGCTCTACAGTAGTTCATCACAGCGCTGTTTTATCACTCTGAGGTTTCTTTTATCAAAAACAAAATCCAGCCTCTCTTGAATCAGGCTGTTTCAAATGGCCATATTCAAACTGTGGTTCTAGTTTTACAAATAGTGAACCGGACCCCTACATTAACCCCACACATTCCACATGTCTGAAAATGTATTTTCAAGGATCTCTGTGCCAGAACGTAGCTGGAAAAAAGTTTCTTGGACTCACTTGTAAATATTGTTTTGGTATGACATGGACACCAACTTGATGAGTTGCAATATGTAAAAATCAGCTTTTTTTCTCCTAATTTCTGTTCATGTGTAGATTTGGAAATGACATCCTTAAGTGATCCCCACCATGTCATCCTGTATCATTTCCTTTACCTTTCCTGAGTTATTTTGTTTTCTCTCCGCAGACAGAGATCCTAACGCAGAGAAGGATGTGTCCAACCTGACCATAAACTTTGGTCCCCAGCACCCAGCAGCTCACGGCGTGCTGCGCCTCGTGTTGGAGCTGAGCGGAGAGTCCGTCAAGAAATGTGACCCCCATATCGGACTGCTCCACCGCGGCACAGAGAAACTCATCGAGTACAAGACCTACCTGCAGGTACTGAACAACTTGAACCATCTCTCCAATGTGTTGTCTTTTTACTTCTATCTTAAGAATTGTTGGGGCATTTTTTCACCACGTGAAGAGGTACAGGAAATATTGTGACGTGTCAAAACACCTGACCACTGAGTGAAACCATCACCCTATTTCTGTATTTTCTAATAAATTAAAGAAGGATGTGAAATCAGGAAGTGTAGAATTAGTGGTGCTCCTTTTTGGTTTTAACCAGGCTAACAAACAAAGAACAACACAGCGGATTTGCAACACACAAACTATTACAAATATTTATGTTTTTTATATTTCAGGCATGGCACAGTAAATTTCGTTTTTGGATTCTTGTGCAATGACAAAGTCTATTCTATTCTAAAAATACTGACTCACATACTGTGAAGCTCCATGACCTCACTGTGATTAAACTAGAGCAAAGTAGCACCTCCCCCCCCGATCTCTCAGAAAACACAGTTAAAAATTTTTTTGGAGCCAACTGCATTCGATCGATGAGGAGGAGCTACCTGTTGCATTTTTCTTGAAAGTCCCTTACCCAGCATCACTTCCTCTTGGTTTAATGTCACAGGCTCTACCCTATTTTGACCGTCTGGACTATGTTTCTATGATGTGCAATGAGGAGGCTTACTCTCTGGCTGTGGAGAAGCTGCTCAACATCCAAGCTCCGCCCCGTGCCCAGTGGATCAGAGGTACAGAGGAGAGGACGTCTGCATGTTCTGCAACGGCCGTTAACAAAGACAAATAGAAAGAAGGCCATACAATGCTTATGATATTAGAATTATAAAGGTCTTGTTTGTTCTGCACTAAAGAAATTCTCTTGTTACATTTTATTGTTTTAAATTTGGAACAAACTTTAGTTTGACAGAAAAAAGTGCATCAGACATATGCACACTGCCTTTAATTCTACTCTCCAGTGTGTGTGATCATCATGACATATAAACTAATTTATGCTACTTTTAAGGGTCACATGACGTTGAAGTTACTCAGAGTTCAGAAAGCCAAGACGGGGACCATGATGTTAGAATCGTAAGCTTTATCGTTTTAGCTTCAAATGTTTGAGTGTGCTCTTTGTTTATTTTGTAGTTCTGTATGGAGAGCTGACTCGCATCCTGAACCACATCATGGCCATCACCACGCACGCCCTCGATATCGGGGCTATGACCCCGTTCTTCTGGATGTTCGAGGAGAGAGAGAAGGTCAGGAGTGCAGCTGGGGGATGTCAAGCACCCTCCTCTTGTTTTGTAGCCAGTGATGATGGAAGGGGAAACACTGTAATGGTTGGAAAGACTACAGAAAATCTAGTGACAGTGATACCTGTTTCAATAGCATGGCACAAAAAAGTCATAAGCACCCAATCATATCCTGTTTTTAATTATCAAAACAATTGAAGAACTCCTGCACACTATCTGAATTGCACAAACACATTTACCACCTGTTTGTGATGTTGATACAGTGTCACCTCCTGTCGTCCGTCTGTAACAGACTTCATGTGACGTTAACGCCTAAATGACTTGGAAAACCTCAGCACATACAAATCTGTTTGTTCTAATGGATCACTGCTGCTCACTCGTCATCAATCAATCATTATTTGTACAACAAATGTTCTCTCAAAACATTTCACAAAAATGCAGGTAAAATACCTCACTCTTTGTTTTATTATCCACAAAGACCCTGACATTAATCCATCATGAGCACTGAGCAACATTTATTTAAGAGGCAGAAACCTTGAGCTGAACCAGACTCATGATGAACAGCCATCAGCTGAAACTGTGTTGGGCTTTTAAAAGTGAGATGCAGGAAGAAGGAGAGAGACAAACAGAGCAACATCAACATCCTGGCAGCTTTAGGCTAAAATTTAACTGATCTGTAGTTTATTTCTTTAAAAAAAAGCTTCTGAACTTTCAATCCCATTGTTCATTAAAGTAACAGAAATTGTAACGTTTTAAAACATGTGGTATTTGACGACCTTCTATTGGAGTGCACCAGTTATACCTGGCAGAACTTGCAGACATATAAGACAGCTTAAACTGGGTTTAGAGTTTAGAGGCCAGCACACAGAAAACCGTCAAAAAGTAGATGCGTAGAGTGCTGCATGGGTGTTGGAAAATGTTTTAAAAATAGTTGAAAAGAATGGGTGCTCTTCAGTAGGTGGCTCCAACTTAGAAGCTGTTGAAGAGGTCTGATGCAGTCAGAGGGGAATGCTTAAAAAGCCTTTAATTCATCAGGGCTACAGATTCATAAAAACATGTTTCAGTCATACTGACCTTCATCACAGAAAACTGTTTTGTTCTTTACAAAAAGGTCTTCTAAAATAAAATGAGAGCTCCAAGATGTTATCTTTGTCTCCTTTAGATCAGACTCTGTAATGCATTAACTATAACTTCTTAATGTTGAATACTTAATGTCTTGTAACCTTCTTGTCTCCGTGCAGATGTTTGAGTTTTATGAGCGAGTGTCAGGAGCCAGAATGCACGCCGCATACGTCAGACCCGGTGGCGTTCACCAGGTGGGAAATATTCAGAAGAAGAAAAATAACGGCTCTTCTCATGTCGGGAGAAGTTTTTGTAATGTAGCTAATGATCTTATCTCGGTTTCAGGACATGCCCCTCGGCCTTATGGACGACATCTATGAGTGGTGCAAGAATTTCTCCATCAGAATCGATGAAGTAGAAGAGGTGAACGCCTGCTTTAAAAATAAAAATCCTCACAATCCTGTGATAAGCATGCAGTGGAGAACAGTTTGTGAATATTGGATTATGTTTTATTTTTTTAATTTTTTTGGCAGATGTTGACCAACAATCGTATCTGGAAGAATCGTACCGTGGACATCGGGGTGGTCACTGCAGAAGAGGCTCTGAACTATGGCTTCAGGTAACACACCAATACAATGAAAGTGACACCCTCCTACCTCACTGATCTCCACTGTCACACTCTTTTTTTTCTTCTTTTTATTGATGATAAGGTGAACAAAATGAAACAAGAATATATAGACATGACAACTAAAGCGAGAACAAATAAACAAAGAAAAATAAATAAATAAAACGGACAACCTCGATACAAAATAGCAAAACATAAGCAAATATACAGAGCAACAATACAGACAAATACATTTACATTTTACTCCACTGTCATACTCTTTCCTGTAGCCATCTTGTCTCCACCTAACAGAGCCTTCTCCATAGCCCCTCCCTCCCAACACATATTCAACACTCCACATTCATTATTATTAAACGTTGTTGCTCAGATGTAAAATTAAGGTTTAATTATCAGCAATGTGTGTGGACTGTGGTGTTTCTCATTCTTCTTCTCGTCTTTCCTCCAGCGGCGTGATGCTGCGAGGGTCGGGCATCAAGTGGGACCTGAGGAAGTCTCAGCCGTACGACAAGTACGACGAGGTGGAATTTGACGTCCCCATCGGAAGCAATGGAGACTGCTACGACAGGTGAGAGAGGAGCAGATGGCTCTTTTTTTGTTTTCCTGACTCAGCTTCTCTCAGACGACGGTACTTACTAAATGTTGCAACACGCAAGCTGTTCATTTAGAAAACCTTTGTGGAGAGGAGAAGCGACGCAGTGGCAGATGAGGGCACACATTTGACATGTTTGATGATATGTGTGAAGATTCATATCGTGTGTTTTCTTTTTTTTAAGCAGCGACTTTCTTAATCACTTGAACGCAGCAGTTCCAGTTTTTCACTTGTGAAAGAGATTATTTATTTTTTTTTTAATCTTTTAGTTTGTTTCTTGATGTGGAAGCTACATGTGGGACTGAGTCAATGAGTCGTCTTATATCAAAGAGAAGTTTGAATGAATCTTTAAATCATAAGAATGGATATTTGCAGTGATTGAAGTCAAATTAAAAGGGATTATTTTATAAACTTTTATTTATCACCTTATTACTTCTTATTTGCACATCGAGCACATGAAGACGTTTTGTATAATTTAATAATTTCACATTTGGTGTTAGTTAAAATATATATTATCGTGTGTATTTATGTGTTTTATTTAGAACTTTTGTCACCAAGTTCTATTTTAAATATGAGGGTGAGATGTGAGAGGTAGTGTGAATGTTTGATAAGTTTATTTTAGAAAAGCATACAAAGTTGTGTTTAAACTTTGACTGGATCAATGTGTCTAATGGCAAAGATTTCATGTCACAAAGTCACAGTTAAAGTGCAGATACTGTACAGCTCAGTCATTCTAACTTAACAATTAAAATGAGCAATCAAGGAGAGAGAGAATGTAAATCCACAAAGTTCAACTTCTCACCAGTTTGGGCGACTATGGCCCAATAGTCCAAACAGTCATCTCTCAGTTTGAAGGTCGGAGGGTTTCATCCTCAGCTGTAGCCACATATCGAAGTGTTCTTGGCTAAGACTCTGACTGAACCCAGAGTGTTACTGATGGCAAAGCCAGCAGTGTGTGAGTTATTAGTGGTGATGAGTTAGTGCTGATGAGCTTTACATAGCGGCCTCTGCCATCAGTGTTTTAGGGTGCCCTCACACTTGGCAACCGGTACCGTGCCCGAGCGATTTTACCCTAAACGTCCAGTTTGTTGGACGACTGTGAGTGCTCCGATCTGTGCTTTTACACAGTTCACTTCCTTGGCCCTGGCACGGATGGAAGAGGTGTGCTTAATCACTGCTCGGATACACAACATGAGTATGAAGTATAATAGATCCATACCTTCAATTATCGAGAAATCTTGGTGTGTTATGGCTATATCTGACCCAAATAAGTCAGTAAATGCAGATTTAATTTTTTAAGTTTGCCTATCTTGTAATCTAAGCATGCTTCATGTGCATGTCAAGCCATGCATTTGTTATATTACAACATTAAATAGTAGCCACACTCAGGCCCGGTTAGTCCTGGAGCAGTGTGAGTGAAGCTGTAGTGTGTGAATGTAGTATAGAAGCACTTTTAGGGGTCAGACGACCAGAAAAGGCTCATATAAGTTCAGTCTTTTTACCACTGAGCTTCACAAAGATGAAATGTGTATGTGTTTGTTTGTTTGGTGCAGGTATCTGTGCAGGGTGGAGGAGATGAGACAGTCCCTGAGGATCATGCACCAGGCGCTCAACAAGATGCCAGAAGGAGAGATTAAGGTGGATGACGCTAAAGTGGCCCCACCCAAGAGGTCTGAGATGAAGGTACGTTTCCGACACTTGGACTCTTTTTCAGACAGTTTTTCTGACGCCCTGCAGCCCGTTCGATCTCAAAACATTGAACCCTGTTTCATCGGGCCAGGTTTTTTCCTCTGCGCTGTGTCACTTTTGGCTTTTTAATTAAATTTCAGCGGTGTCACTAATTTGTCTTCAAAACTTCCATCTTGAAAGAATTAGGCCAGTGAAGCTGACTTTAATTTGGCTTCCCCCCCGAGGCTTCAGATCACCTCTAGTTCACCTCAGAGAGCGAAATTAAAGTGTATTACATTTAAAGTCCACAGTCGTAGATAAAACTTTCTAAGTTTTGTACGGAGTTCGAGAGATGCGGGATGAGGGTGTGGGAAAAAAACTGCTGGTGCTTTTTTCTGCTCTGTATTGCAACAGGAAGAGAAAGTTTGACTAGAGACATTGTAGAATTTATGATTTTCCTACTTCACTGGTCTGCTTTCTTCAAACAAAACATCCCTCCTTATTTTTGGTTCAGTCCTCTATCAGCTACTGACCACGCGACACAGAACCACTGAAGAGAGATTTGTTCAAAAAAACTTGTTCATGAACAAATAGAGTAGAGGTTATAGATGTATTCTGATATTTCTGAATGTCTGTTTAATCTGCATGGAGGAATTGAAAGAGGCCTCTTTGAGTGTCTGAGGATGTGAAACTGAAGAAACGATCAGATATGTCACTTAGCCTCCAGATAAATATCACAAGTTTTTGTACCTCGCGTATATGAACTTGTGCTTTTATCGACCAACCTTTATTACATGTAACAGTAGATCTGCTGTCATGACACACACACACGCACTGCATAACAGACTGCACTGACTTATTGCTTCTTATTTTACACCACACGTCTGTGACTATTGAAGTGGATATAATGTGCTGACTCAAATCAATATCAGCCCCTTAAGCCTGATTTATACTTCTGTGCTGAATCACCATATCAAAACGTTGCACGTTGGCATAGCCCTGTACCTAGAGAGAGAAGCCGACATAAGCAGCCTGATGTGTAGCTCCTCAAAAATGTAACTATGCAGTGAAACGACTCCGTGATTGGACAGCTGGGTGGCATTGCATTTCCTGCTTTTACAACATTTCCTGGTATCGCAGCTATTTTCAAAATTCTGCAGAAGGGAGAAGACTCATCAACTCACACTCCAAACATCATACGCTCAGTCAGTCGACATGGTTTCCTGTAGAGAATCAAACAGAGAATGCGGCTGAACCGGACGCTGGCTATAAAACTAGCACTGAGTCATCACACTGCCAACTAGCGTTTGTTAGGTGGGGAGTTGATTGAAGAGCTATGCAGACACAACCCAGGCACAGGTAGGGGGGGGGGAGTGGCTGTAGAGCTCACAACGGCCAATATGGCGTCGCTACAGCGTAGATTCTACGCAGAAGTATACATCAGGCTTTACACGTTGCCAGTTCATGAGGGGATATTTACAACAGTAAGGCCTCATCTGCAATGTTTATGCACGGTAGAGGAATAGTGGGGTGCATATGAGGTTAAGAGGAGGAGACAGCAGGGTGGAACAGCGCTGTGTGTGTGTATGTGGAGCTTCTGATGTTGGTTTACATGCACAACATTTTGCACATCTTACACTTTTTCAACACTGTACCGTGAGTCAAACAAAACACTGCAAAGCAAGAGTGAAAGTGCCGTAATGGCAGTGTAGCAGTAGTGTTGCAGAATCATGTGTTGTGTTTGCTCTTTCTCCTAGACGTCCATGGAGTCTCTGATCCACCACTTCAAACTGTACACAGAGGGCTACCAGGTCCCCCCGGGGGAAACATACACAGCTGTGGAGGCCCCCAAGGTCAGACTTTTACACCATGTGTTTTTAAAACATATTTTTAAACAATTTTCAAAGTAAATAATTCTGAAAATGGATTCGCTGTGGTTTACCATTTGAGTTTTATCCTAACAAACAACAATCCTACTTTTGTAAGCACTCTGTTGATCCTCAGTATACATGAGCTTCTTCCGGTCCTAATTAATTAAGAAGCCTTTGTAGGCCTTCAGGGACTGGTTGTGATGTAATATGCTTACTGGTTTGTGTGTGTGTTTGTGTCCCTCGCAGGGAGAGTTTGGTGTTTATTTGATATCTGACGGCTCCAGCAGACCCTATCGCTGCAAGATCAAAGCTCCTGGATTCGCTCACTTGGTACACACACAGAAACTTCACAAAACACTGTGAAATATTAAACACATCCATTATTCAGCGTGTTTAACGGCTTGTCCTTAAGGCTACTTTTACTTCATTAAGTATGTTTATCAAGCGCTATAGAACCATTTTTAACAGCGTACATAACTCCCCCCCTCACATCCCTCCTTCCTGTGCATCTCTTCGCTCGTGGCTAAATGAATGTTGAACACAGTCAGTTGCATTTCATCTGTGAGGCTAAAAATGTCTTTATAGTCGCACAAACAAACTATTAGAGTCGTTAGTGCATTGACTGGAGGCGCTTGAGTCTTTGGAGCTATGAATATTCACTTTTACAGGAGCTCCTCTAAACAGAGCTGTTGTTAAGAAATGCTTTCTTTCTTCTTTCTTTCTAGGCTGGTCTGGATAAAATGGCCAGAGGACACATGCTCGCTGACGTGGTCGCCATTATTGGTAAGAACTGATTATCGGTGGAGAATGCAGCTTCAGGAGTAAAGTCATTCTGATGCCACATGAAGTGTGTTGTCAGTCTATTCTCTGAGCTCATCTTAAAGGATACTTCACCCATTAGCATTAATCTTTGTATCATTAGAAACCTTTGAATGGTCGTGCATCCCGCCCTCATTTTCCCCTGAGATGGGAAATCTTTGTATTTCTGAGTCTGAAAAGGAGCTTCCAGTGACGCAAAATGACGATTTTTGCGTCACTGGTCAGCGAGATGCAAAAAATCGTTGCTGGTTTCAGTTAGCGTTGTGAAACTACAACGCTAGTTCCTCATATATTCGACCACTGAAGCTACAGATTAGTGCGGGGAACTCACTCCCAGAATCTAAACTTAACGTGCGCCATATTGCTTGGAAGCTATGCTAACAGGCTATATGGAGAAAGCTGATAATGGCGAAAATATATCAATCCAGCGGTGAGATGGCCAAGAGGACGAGGAGCCCGAGCTGGGGCGTACGTTACACGTACTCGGACCGGAACGTTTTGGTACAGGGCCTTCGGTCCGGTCCGCACGTGGACCGATCCGAGTACGCGCAGAACAGAAGTACTTTAATCTGTGTTCCCACACGGACCGCAAAGCAGAAGCACACCTCAGAGTGGAGGAAGGCTGCGGCCGCTGGTATGGGACACAGCTTTTAGTTAATAACTTGTAAAAAGTTCTGTCGGTTTGGACAGTTGCATATAACCGGGATGGAGTTCTTTTTACAGACTTACTCTTAAGTTTCGTTTTCAGCTGCGCAAAAGGGGAGACGCGTCTGTGTGGGAGCATAACCTGCAGCATGATAGAATGAACACCCTCCCTCCCCAACACACAGCCTTTTGCTAGTAATTCTGAACGGGCCAAAGCCATAACAAATGCTGCTGAAGTTCTACTATACTTCTTCTATATCGACAGAGGGAAACATTAATAGTTCTGTGATGAAACTGTCCCAGATGTGATTATGTTTATTATGTGCTCAAAGGGCATTCAAAAAACAGTTGGCTTAATAAACTAAAAGGTGTCAGTGTAATTTAAAATAAACATTTTTACATATAGGCTATATTAATTACTTAATTTCATTCTAAAATATTTTTTTTCATTCATATCTTTTATTTATTGGAGACTCTTTTGGTTAAAGGATGCAGCATAAGTTTATTTTTTTTACAATGTTTAATTTAAAATGTTATTAAAAAGTAACATGAGCAGGTGTACAAGTCTGAACTGTTGATGCTGCACTTAGCACAATGTGTAAAAGGGGAATTCTAAATGTTTCTAATAAAGAAAAAAAGTGTTGCATCAGGTCCCTTTTTATTGTACCGAAACCGAAGCTTCAAAACTTGGAACCATACCGAAGCAAAATTTTTGTGTACCGTTACACCCCTAGTAAACGGCCTTACTTGTTGAAGTAAATATGTCTGTAAACCTGACCTTAGTGGGAGTGGCCTGCGGTGCTGTGCATTCTGGGATTTGGTGTCTTTCATCCACATGAGCCAAAAAGACACTTTCTGCCTTTTCTCGGCCAAGAAGGCACCAACTTCAAAATGTATCTCACATTTCTACTACCTATATGACCCAATGTCAATACAGATTCATGTTTCAATGGGTGAAGTATCCCTTTAACTGTTTTTGGACTGGAAAATAATGTTTCTGTCTCAGTGGAATTCAGTTCAGGTAGTTAATCATTAAGATGAAGAGAATGAAAGGCTGGTTTTCTCATCACAGTTTCTTATGTCTGTTCTGTGCATTTTATAGGAGCAACCTGTAAGATATTTAATCATTAAATGAACTCACTATATCATCAGACATTTAGGAAACATCCTTTAAAATGTAAACCATCTCACAGTGAAATTGTGCAAATTTAACCATAGAAAAACAGTGCAATTATATAATGTGAAAAAATCTGTGTTGCGACTTTATCTTTATTCTACCCTCATGTTTATATTGCTACTCTATTTTTTAAAAATATACTTTTAACTTGTCCTGTACATCTAATCTCATCTAAAGCACCCTTTCTGTAAGACGGTATAAAATACAAAATAAAAGCACAGCTAAGATCATTTTGCAGAGAGAATCATTTAGTTTAATTATTTACATTAACGGGGATACTTAAACAAGCGGTTTCATAATAAGCTCAAATATGAAATCAAACAGATAAAAGCGATTCTTAGATCAGGATTCATGAGGGGGACTTGAACAGTAGATCTTTTTCTGCTGTTCTTCACTGAGGATGGGGATTGTTGAACAGTGGGTGTATGTAGGGGGGCTTCTGCTGGGTCAGGTTTGGCTGACCCTGTCCCATTCCAGCCCTGGCAGTCGGTGAGCAGCGGGATATAAATGTTCTAAAAAGAAACACACAAAACAAAATGACACCTGAAATAAACCTGATTGTGATTATAAAACCGTGCAGCTGACTTGATGTTGTGATGGTCGTCAGGAAGATGTTTTCTGGTCATCTGTTTGCAGCTTTTATATGAAGCACGTCTGAGTCTCTCCTCCTTCTTCCTCCTACAGGTACACAGGACATCGTGTTTGGAGAGGTCGACCGTTAACGTGATCCTGTTTGTTCCCACGATGAAGAGGATTCAACGTCTGTGTCGCACATCTATTAGTCAGGTTCTCTTCCTGTTAACTGTTTGCTCGTAGTTGTGCTTTTGACAGAAGAATCAGTGATGTACAATGTCCAAATAAACCCTAATAAATATTTTATGACCGAACAGAGAGTTTGTGTTTTCACCGTCCCGCTGGACAAAAAAGATGATTTCGAAAAGACTTTGTTGATTTTCTAAAGTTTCATGTCCTCGCTTCACTTATCTGAAAAAAAAAGTATTAACAATGAGAGCAGAGAGAGCAAACCCTCGGCCTTCTGGGTCCTTCCTCTGGTTTGGTGTTGAAAGGGGTGGGGGAGTGGTCTGATGAGAGCTCAGACAAATGGACTAAATGCTCCGACCACAACTTCCCCTCCAGGCTGAGGTATGTAACAGTTTTTATCAGAACTCAGAGGAAAGACAAAAAGCACCCAGAAGTCGTCCGTGTTTGCAGTTCGCTGGCCTCTGAAGGATCCTGCTCGTCTGTATTGAGCCTGTGTTGCCATGGCGTTCTGGGGCAGGAGCCCGCTACTGCTCGCCGTTCCTCTGTGGATGAGCTTTGGGGGAGTGGGTGAGTTGGGACGTCAAATTCCACTCTAACATTGACGTTTTTTTATTTATTTTTTATTCTCACCGTTGCTAAGGCTGGTTGGTAGGTGTCGAAAAACCTCAAAGTTTGGATCACTATTTAAAATCTAATGAGAAAAAGAAACTTGTTTAGATAAAGTCTGACTGAACAGAGTCAGTGGAAACATCATGAAGATTTTATTAGACGACTTTTATATTTTCTCTGCCAAAAAAAACAAAAAACACAGAATTAGAAAAGCTGTGAGTGGATGTCAGTCTTTAGTGTTTCTTTCAGAGCGCTGATGTTTTCTGACATCTGCGGCCTCGTTACTCAGGCGGCAGAAATGCTCTCACACGTTCCAGTTCCTGTGTAAGACAAGCTGACCCTGTTACTTTTTTTTTTTGTTGCTCTGCAGCGAGGGGCACAGAGGCTGATGTTCAACGCCACTTCTTTCTTTTTTTTTTTCCCTGCTCTTGTTGAGCCAGTTTTCACACACACCATACACAAACAAGAAGTTCTGTTGATCAGGTTCCTCATATTTCAGTGAAGCCATTTCCGTATTTCTTCAATGTTTCAAATATGGTATTAATCTGGATCTACTTCATTATGCAGATCAAAACTGCAGAAAATCAAGGAGGTATCTTTTATTATCCGTTGAATAATCCTGACATGATGTTAGTGAGAGAGAAGTCAACTGAAGGAAGTTTTTTTGATCAACTTTAAAAAAAAAATGTAATTATAATGTATGTATAGGTCAGTGGATAGAGGCAGAAAACATAGGGAGAGAGAGAGAGCGGGGAATGACATTCTGGATTCAAACCCGGGTCACATGCTTTGAGGACCTCAGCCTCTGTATATGGTGTGCGCAGTAACCACTAGGCTCCGCGCCCCAACAAGAGGAAGTTTTAATGCTTCTCTCAGTACGACAACAGATCGAAACATTGACTGTAAAAATGTTTGAATATAAGAAAGGCTTTATCGAGGCGCTGGTGGCGCAGTATGGGGGCTGTGGTCTTCCGGGTTGGCGGCCCGGGTTTGGGTCCGGCCTGTGGCCCCTATCCCGCATGTTGTTCCCTCTCCTCTCTCTATGGTGTGCGCAGTAACCACTAGGCTCCGCGCCCCAACAAGAGGAAGTTTTAATGCTTCTCTCAGTACGACAACAGATCGAAACATTGACTGTAAAAATGTTTGAATATAAGAAAGGCTTTATCGAGGCGCTGGTGGCGCAGTATGGGGGCTGTGGTCTTCCGGGTTGGCGGCCCGGGTTTGGGTCCGGCCTGTGGCCCCTATCCCGCATGTTGTTCCCCTCTCTCTCTCTCTCTCTCTCTGATTTCCGGCTCTATCCACTGTCCTGTCTCTCAATTAGGGGCACAAAAAGCCCAAAAATAAATCTTAAAAAAAAAAAAAGGCTTTATCAGGGGAAGAAGACATTAAAGTAGACGCATCACAGAAGAACTAAAACTGTTAATTAAACGCTTGATTTGTGAACATTTTATTTATAATAAAATATAATCATTTAGGTAATTTATCAGGCAAAATATAAGATGTTATAATGTTGAAGATTTGTCTTCAACATTATTAGAAACGACATCATATGGAGGGTATTTTGGATTTATTGATGGATGACTTTATTTCAAATGTGTTAAATAAAAAGTAGAAGAACAACTGAAACCGAAAAATATTAGTGAACACCAACAGCCATATTCAACAGGAAGCAAACACTACAAGTTTATTACACTTAAAATACATACTGTATCTACTATTGTGTCTGTGTATTCATGTTGAAGTGTAATTAAAATATTCATAAAAGCACTAAAAGTTTGAAAAGGAGTATTTTTAAATAAATTACATTTACACTTAATTAACCTGCAACTCAAATATAACTCAAGAAAAACTAAAAGACACAAAAAAACAGAAAATAAGGAAACTCAGGGAAATGTAACTGAATTTAAGGAAAGTTTGACAAGCATTTTTCACAGTTTTTTTTCTAAAGTAGGCTATGAATTAATAAATTATTGAGAAATAAAGTGAAATCAGTTAAGCTCCTTGTGACATGTTTCACTTTAAATTTAAAGCCACATTGAACTTTGCCCACTTACAGTGTCGCTGATTTAGGTGTCTCTACGGGTAAGTCACAATAGAAGTGGTTCATTAATGTGAAGCTGTTTAAATATTTGCAGGAACCTGCTCAGTCTGACTCTTAAAATGTAACGACCCTCCACTGATGTAAATGTAAAACTAAGAGAAAGAGAAGTTTCTTACAGCACCGACACCTCGTTTGAAAAAAAGGTTCCTAATTTAAGCTCCATGTTGAGTTAGACTTTGGTCACATACTCACATATTAGTCATATTTTATTGTCAGGCTTGATGTTATTTTTGGCTGCTTATAGTTTACACATCGTATTTTTTTTGTTTCCTTTGCGGAAACCAACAGAGATGTTGAAGTAGATATTGCACCACATCTCTCATTTGCGAAACATGCACACTTAGAGTTAGAAAACCAAATGCAATATTTCCTCTCAGCTGCGTGACTTCAGAGGAAATCTGTCCATCCATCCATCCATCCATCCATCCATCCATCCATCCATCCATAACCCCGCAAGAGCCACAAAGTGTCCAAAAAGGATCAGTCAAAAACAAATCAAGTGTGACGGGCATGAAGGTGATTTTTTTCACATCCTGTTTTGTTTTCCTCAGCCTCAGAATAAGGTACCACCAGGAGTGATCCCTCTTAGTGGGAGACGATCATTGCATCATAGATAAAAGAAAAAGATGAATTTCCATAAATGTTGAAGAAAGCAGGAAGTACTGTGACGTGACAGAAACGGATGTCTGTGCTCAGAGGATTTCATCATGGAGAAGTTGTCAGTCAAGGTTCTTGTTTCTAAATATGAGGGGGAACAGACGTCAGCGTTATATAAAATAAATAAAGTCAATATAGTTCAAATTTAAATTCGGTTTTCTGAAGTTTTTGGTGTTAAATATTCTCAATATGAAAAGCTCAGACAAATCAGTCACATTACATTTAATATAAAAAAAGCCAATTAGACATAAATGTGATTTCAAAATGTCCTATAAAGCCAAATGTGCCTGAAAATGGGCCTGACTGATGAAGCTAAAAACCTAGAAACAAACTAATAATTAGCAACTCCTGTCATACTGTAAAAAAAGAAAAGAAAAAAAAAGGTGTAAGTCAAATGCTAAATCCCAGAACGTAAGACCTTCTCGCGCCATCATGCAAAACTGCTGCAAAAGTTTTCTTTCAAACACCTATAGGGTCAGGGTGCCAGTGGCCTAGTGGTTAGTCCGCGCTCCAAATGTACTGAGGCTGTATTCCTCCAAGCGGACAGCCTGGGTTAAACTCCAAATCCACTCTCAAGATCTTTCCTGCATGTCATCCCCCACTCTCTCTCTCTCTCTCCCCAATCTCTCACTCTATCCCCTCTATGGACGCTGATGAAGGCCTAGTGCTGAAACGCGTCACTCTCATCCACATAAAGGAAACTTAAAGGACATTTTGTGTGCTGACTTTTCTGTCTCTCTTTTTAGTCTTGTTGCAGTCGTGCACTTGAAGCTGTGTTTACTCTTGAGTATTGCTCCTTTTTTTTGTTGTTGCTGTTTTTCACTCTATCCACTGGCCTACCTATACATAAAAATAAACCTTAAAGTACATTGCTTGTCATTTTAACACGATATTCCCCATGCAAAAGGTTGATGAAACATGAAGGCCTTTTGAATGTGAGATGTGTGAAGAAGAAGAAGAATAGCCTGCACACTTGCTCAAGTCTGCGGGCTCTTCTTCTTCCTCATTCTGCTGTTTTTGCACGGCTCTTCACCTTCCTCCTTTTTCTCAGATGTGCATTTAAGACAGTCACAGAAAAAAACCTTATGTACCACAAAGTTGTGTTTTCTGTTGAATGCTATGGTCCTGATTAGTTCTCAGCTTAACGAGCAGTAAAAGCAACATTGAGGTTTTCTGTACAGTGAATAGGAATGACGTCCTGTGTGTGCACTTCTATGCCGGGAGGAGAAATAATATCTTGAAGCCACAAGAAAACATGAGATGAGATGAGATTCAACTTTATTGTCATTACACATATACAAGTATAGAGTAACGAAATGAGGTTTGGCATCTCACCAGAAGTGCAAATTAGCAGAAAGTGCAAGAGTCTGTGCTATGTAGAGTAATTGAGTGCAAGAGTCTGTGCTATGTACAGTAATTGCAAAATTTACAGATGTAGACAAAAAAAGTGAATTATTAGGTATATCTGGATGGCTGGATTAATGGGATGCAATAAATATAAATAAATGCTATAAATAAGTAATGTTACAAAATAAGTGTGTTCTTAGGATTATAGTGTGTTCTTAGGATTATGAGAACACACTATAAAACATGGAACACATAGTGACATAAGAACATTTGAAATACTCACTACCATTTAAACTATCTTTAACTCCCAGCAGTAGATCAGAAACTAAACATCAGCCACATCATCAGTTCAAGTACACAACCTGATTGACTTTGAAAAAAAAAAAGCTCTACCAGCAATATCAGGTCTTATTTCTCCAAACGTATGAAAAAATGGGATTGTGGGAAACATGCAGAGCTTTAAAAAGTCACTCCCAGAAGATGTACAACTGATTTTTGCGACACTCATATTCACTTAGAGCCCTCCATAATCCTTTTTCATTTATTTAATAATACATTCTCTTGTCCATTTTGTCTTCAAATGATTGTAATGCTCCTCCTCTTTGTCTCCCTAGACGACGGTGTCATGACTTTTTAAAGTACTATAACACAGTTTGCTCTACTTTCTGTCTTAGCTGCTGTTGCCGGGTTGTTTTTTTTGTTTTTTTTCACAGTCTTAAAATGATGAAACCACCATTACTGTTATAGCAACAAACCAGCCTCGTCGTCCCATTAGGGTTTTATTTCTGGATGCATGCTTTATATAAGGAGGAGTAGCTCTGAAACAAGTCGTACACAATGATTTATCACATTGCAATGAATTCTTTTTTTCTGTAATTCCTTCAAATATGAAGTTGTTGAGATTTTTAACATTGAATGTGTAGATTCTGGTTTTGCTCCTGACTGCCGTCTCTCGTCTTTCAGCCGCTGCTCTTTCAGATCCAGAGGTCTGTTACATCCTGGATGGTATCCTGTTCTTGTACGGCATCATCCTGACAGCGCTCTACTGCAAAATCAAGGTTTGGACGCCTCATTTTGACCTTTGCACAACTATAGTTATACAAAAAGTACAAATCAGCAGGAACAGACTTTACAGTCGAACAAAAACGTTATATTTAAAATCTTTTAAAAATAATATGGCAGATTTTTTTATTGCGTGAGTAGAAAAACGGGATGTTGTCTGCAAAAGACAGCATGTTGCACAATCAGAAAGAGAACACAGTGGTTCTCATCTTGTGACCTGGAACCCAGAAGTCGGTTGCAAAGGTTTTTTCAGTGGGTTATGAAAGTGTGCTTGAAAGGTGTCAAAAACACATAGAAGCACTTTTTTGTGCTTTTGCCTTTATTTGATATGACAGTACATAGAACAGGAACTCAAGAGAGAGAGAGAGTGGGCAATGACCTGTGGGTAAGAATGCACAGGTCAGACTTGAAGCTGTGTCGTCTCCTTGGAGTACTACAGCCTCTGTACATGTTGCGCAATCTAACCGCTAGGCCATCTGTGCCCCTGTGAAGCACTTTTTTTTTTATAACACGCATGACTTGTTCCGTTTCTCTGTTCTGTCAAATGTTTTGAACCGTTTGAGACACATTTTCATGAAGTAAAGCTGATTGGTTGAAAAAATACGAGAATAAGTGTGCTCAAGACTTGGGACCCCCACAGTCCCTATATGTTTATCTAATATGTAAGTTATTGTAAGAAAGGCTTGAAGAACGTTTCCATGAATAAACTGTAGGACTGAGTGGACATAGAAAATGTAACAAACAGAAACTCAGCTGATGTCTGTGTGTGTGTTTTTATTCATAGGCAGCAGTAGACCCTCACATTGTTGCATTTATGTGCAAATTTACCTTTAAATCATTATTTTTACAGATTACTTTCAGCCTAAATCTTACTTAATGACACTTGTATTTTAAATTCACCTACTCTTTCTATTTATTTTCACAATCACGGTAAAATTTGGTATTTTAAATTATTTAAATTGTTTTATTTGGTTGTGGAAGGCATCTCACGACCCTTCTCTCAGTGTCTCACGGCCCCTCAGGGGGCCCCAACCCCCACTTTGGGAACCACTGCTTTAGGTCACTAAAATGAAGATATCAACAGGAAAGAAAAATATGTGTTTGTAAAGTGACTGTTTTTAGATGATTATCTTTCGCTCTTAAGATAAAGCTCTCCTGTCAGTAAAGAGAAGTGAAAAACAGAACGAGAGATAACAGACTGAGACTGAAGTGATCACTCACTGAAGACTTTCTTCTTACAGATCCAACAGACTAGGGAGGCTGAGGCTATGGCTGAGACCAAGAAAGCAAAGGGCAAGAAGAAGGTAAGAATAATAACACACAATGTTTGTACATGACTGAAATAGACACAAAGACATGGAGTGAGGTTTAGACACTTTGGAGCGTCACCACAAAGTAAACAAACTTGAGAATAAAGGTCAAAAGAGAGAAGACATGCAGAATTAGATTAACGAACAGCAATTCTTTATATCCACACAAGCTAACTGTACTTGTCTAGGTCTGATTAATGCAGGAATACTTTCTTGAGTACACAAGAAAATTCAGATGTTTAGAAAGCTACAGAGGCCCTATAGGCAGAATTACATTCATACATTTTATGTGATTCCATTTTCCTGTGATGACGAGTGAATTTCAGTTGTTTTCAGGAGATCTTGACTTATATCTCATCATCTCGGGATAACAATGAGTGTTTTCTTGTGATAACAACAATATAACATTTGGGAAAAGAAGCAGTGTTCTCCGGAGATGAATGATTTAAGGATGTCATGAAAACAACCCAAATTTACACATTTTCCCAGGAAAATGTAATAAAATGAATTAGTGGATGTATGTCCTCTTAGGCCAGATATACAGTCTCTTTAAACTACACCATGGGGCATGATGGCTGCCTCATGTCCCCTGCGTCTGTTTGCCGTGTTAGCTGTGCATGTTTTCAAAGGTGCAGTACTCACATGAACAGTATGGGGGCAGTGTAGAGTGCAGAGGGGAAGTGACACACTCAACACAACAATGGCCGAAAGATTTGAATCCAACTTAATAATTAAGTCCATTATTATCCACATCTAAAATACGTGTCATTGACACTCCAGCTTCAAACATACCTGAACTAGCTCACAAGAAATTAGTTTCATTTTTAGAAGTCGACAATCAACATGTGATCCTGTAAACGGGGGACAATGGCGATTCTAGGGTCTGTTGGGGCCCTAGGTAAAATTCATTGGGGGCCCCTCCAACCAGCGTTCATTATTATTTTCCTCCTTATTTTTTCACTCACAGACAGATTATTTCCTCTTCATTTAACCTTCATTGACAAATGTTGGTTTTCACAGCAATAATGCATGTGACACAGAGAGTGAGTGCTAGCAGACGGTGGGGCCCCCTTAGGGAGGTTTCCTACTGCCGTTACCAACTATGCAAATTTTGAGGCAATGCTCAATGCCAGCCGTTGGGGGCCCCTTTACTGATCTGTGGCCCCAAGCAGTTGCCTGCCTTGCCTGTTGACAAGCGGCACCTCTATGTGTTTGTTTAGTTTTTCATTACAAACACATCTGATGAGTATATTTTGACATTATAACACATGTGGAGTGAAGTCAAGTATGTGAACAATATCATTTAATACAATATCATTTCAAGGCTGGCTAGACTCTAGACGACTTTAGACCTGATATGGGGCCCGATTTACTGAATCTTTTTGACTTTGATGGATTTTTCTTTTTAATGAAAGACTTTAGATCAGGGGTGTCCAAAGTGCGGCCCGAGGGCCATTTTTTGCGGCCTGTGACTTCAAATGAAGAATCAGAAGATTTTGGCCCGAGGCCTCGATTAAGATTGGCACATTATCTTATTTTTCTTTTTCATGTTAACAAGAGCTGAACAATATTCTTAAAATAGAAAATGTTCAGTAACATGTATGTTGTTGTTTTTTTTTAATCTACAGCTTTTACTATTTTCCACATTTTTTTGTAAACTATGAAAAAAAACGTATGAAAAGTTTTTGCAAACAAGCGGACTGTTGTTTAACCATTTAATGACCTGAGCTAAATGCAGAAAGCTTTTCCAAAAACATGAACCACATTACAGGCTTGATTCTGAGAAAAAAAAAAAAAAAGTAGAACTAAGAAATCAAAATATTTGATTTCCTTTTATTAAAGGGTTTCTTTAGCGAGCCTTTTGATTCTGATCTACAAAGCCTTACTATTTTTAAAACTATATTTTAAAAAACAAAACCTGTGGCCCGCGAGTGATTCTAACACGACAATTTTGGCCTGCAAGAAAAAAAGTTTGGACACCACTGCTCTAAGATGGTGACTTTAATCACAGCGTTCTTGTTCTGTCATGCATGCTGCTTATGGTATGAACTTTCTTGTATTCTTAAAAACTCACTTGCCAAGCATGTAAATATAGAGGTCATGTTTCATTACAAGAGGTCTTAACCAGCTGTTATACAACATCGTCTTATTTAAACGTTTATTTCTTATAAGCAGCCACAGACTGCACGCAGCCATAGCCCACTGTGATACACATAAATACACTCTCTACTCTCTACACACACACACACACACACAGAGTCTCCATGTTTAACTCATCTTACAGTCATCTTCTATCTAACCCTGTTGTTTTCTATTCCTGACAGATTCCTGAAGAGAGCATCTATACGGTGAGTTTTGATTCCATGCATGATGTAGAGTAGATGAAGAATATAATCTTAAATGATTTTGATATTGATCTTACTTCTCTGTTTTCCTCTCAGGGTTTGACTCCTCACGCTGCGGACACGTATGAAACTATCGGCACGAAGAAGTGACGTGACACGATGCATTAAAGTCCGAGACATGCGCTTCTTTTCTATATTTAAATATTGCATATTATAAATACATATATATATATATATGCATAATCAGCTTACATTTAAAAAAAGATTGTGAGATTGTTAGCATCAGAGTCTTTTTGCTTTTGCTTTTGTAAAAGTTTGTTGAGCGTGAAGGGTGAAAGAGAAAAGGGGGGGGATGAGGCGGCTACTTTGAAGAAGAAATAACGCACATATTTAATTTATACTTTGCTTTAAAGACATATTGCATAATAATATTTAAAATGAAAAAATATGTTGTATCCCTTTGTGTATATCTGAAATGCTTTCTGGCACTGACCTGCTTAAAAGGCAGGGTTGGTAATTTTCAAAAACTAGCATGATTTTAAAAGTAGCATCCCCTCTGTGCTCCGTCTGCACCCGCCCCCTCTCCTTATAAGCCACGCCCCTCACTTACAAGCTCCATTGGTCCAGAAGTGGACCTCAGCTCACACTTTGAGTGTGGGCTCGTGCATGCATGGGGTAGAGAGCAAGCAGGGAGACAGGGAGGCGTGTGATTGGTTCATCAGATTGGTACCTCGTGGCAGACATTGGTCAAAGTTTTTACAGGCTTACAACTGATACAGATAAAGGATTTTCTTTGTTCCTTTTTCAGAGCACAGGAGTTATTAATTTCTGTCAGGACCTAAAGACACTTTCAACCAAAATCTTAAAAAGTGGATCTGGAGAAAATGACCAACCCTGCCTTTAATGTTTATTACTAACTTTAATTTTTTAGGCATTCTGAAAGGGTCTAAAGTGCAAAAGTTTCATGCAACATTGTGATTGAGTGATTATAGTTGTAATGCCAACCTCCTCCATAATGCCTTAGGGATACTGAGCAGTGTTTCCTACACACCACAGGGTGGCAGTGAAGGTGTCTTTGGTGAAGTTTTTCCCTGTGAAACACATCCACTCTGCAGCCTCTCGCACCAGTACAGGAGCCTAAAATAAATTCAATAAATGACACAAACGGCTGTGAAGTTTTGTTTTTCCACAAGAGGCGAAAAGCTGTTACACAAAAACAAAAACACAACTCGTATAAAAAAGAAGAAGAAAACACCTATGATTTAATTGTTGATTGCAAACCCTGCCTCCAAGACACGTATGATTATGTAGGGAGTGGTTAACCTCCAGTCCTCTTAGGTAAACGACATGAAATAATAATAACAATTACATGAAAGTGGTTCTGCTGCTAAACGATGGTTCACAGCACACAGTCAGATCTCACTGATAAAAAGTGTGTTTAACATTTATCCAGTGAAAGAAAGAAAAACAAGGACACAACAAACAGACCAATGAGTGATTTAAAGCTCCTGAGAGGAGTTTATTCACTGGTTATGAAACAGAATGAAGTTAATGTTGAGGTACAAAAGCAAACAAAACCATCAGCATCAAGACTGATTACTTCTATGTGCAGTTGTTATTTTTAATGCACAGAATCTCTGCTGCAGGGTAACTGTCAGATGGGATAACTAAAGGCCCATAACGGCTCGTCGATCCAAGTGAGCGATCGACGCTCTTGTTATTGCAGTGTGTCCGGCTCGACCATTTGTGCCTCTTGGGAGCTTAAAGAGGGGGTTGAGATTTCATGAGGAATAATCCATTTTATTGGTCCATTATAGTTCCTGTGAGGAACCTTTGATTAGTGGTGATTCTGGCGCCCCCTGTGGACAAAGCGCTATTTGCTGATCTTGTCATTTTTTAGAAGAACTCCCTGCATTACTTGAATTGTCATGTGAATAACTCAGTGTGACTTTTTACTGTAAAAAAAGAACAAAGGCTCTGTCACACTTACCCTGCACCTTCTTTAATAACAACATAGAAAGAATCAACCTTCTCCATAATGCTCTTGTTTGCTTTTGTATGTCATCTGTATCAACTTCAGTCTGTTTTATAACCAGCTTAAACCTCCTCACAGGAGCTTTAGATAGTTGCATTCTCATGTTTTGTATTTCAAAAACGTTTAACTCTAATTAGTGTGTGAGGAGCTCGTATTTGTGCTTGTATTATCCCCTCAAAATTAAAGGATTAATTTTTTTTTCCCCAATGGGAGGAGGCACCAAATTATTTTGGCATTAACCTGGCGTGGTTGCCTTTTATAATATACACTTCAAACTGGCTCTCCATGCGTGCTTTTCACCTGCCTCTCCTCTGAGCAGAGCAAGTCAATACGCGAAAATAACTGTCATGTTGCCTTCACCAAACCGGAAAGGTGACTTTTGACGCAACGCGTGAGCGTCTGTGGTGTGTGTGTGTGTGTGTGTGTGTGTGTGTGTGTGTGTGTGTGTGTGTGTGTGTGTGTGTGCGCGCGCGCGCGCGTTTGTGTGTGGGGTGTGTGTGTTTGTGTGCTAGAGAGAGAAGGCGAGAAAGAGAGGTGTAGCACAAACAGGTGTATCCAAAGCAGGTAGAGCTGCACCTTCGTTGAGCCAACAACACTGAATGGATTTCCGCTTTTAACGGACTGATTTTCCACAACCGAAACTTTAAAAAGAGACTTTATTAATAAAGATAAAGACACGATTAAGGATGACCCGGCAGCAGGAGGCGTGAATCCGCCTGATTGCTTCTTGAGCATAACCTGTCATTACGGATACTAACTACCTGGACAGATGAGCGTTATTCCAGCGCGGATATCGTCCCAATTTGCGCACATTTCAAAGTAACTGAGGAAGAGGATGAAACCTTTGTTGAACACACTCATTCTGTGTCTCTGTCTCCTCCGGATCTGTGGTAAGAAGCCTTCAGACACTTTCCAAACTCCTGTCATTTTTAAGTCTACAGTATGTCTGCCTTGTGTCTTTTTTATGGGATGCCTTCAGGGCCAAAATGTGCCTGCAATGTGTCTATGTGTTAATGTGTTTACCAGTTTATAAAGTCCTTTTAGGAACCTTCTAATATGACTTTTTAATGAGTCTGATCATAATGACATTGCAGCCTGACCTTCTTTGTTCAAATGTTTTGTTAAACATTACAAAAAGGTTTTAAAGTAACTTTTGGTTTGTGTTGATTTTAGCGCCACCTGTGGACAAAAGCAAAACTTTTCTGATGTTTTCCCTGTACGTCAGAATAAGTACATAAGAAAATAAAACAACCAGTTCTTTTAGGAGTCAGTAGGAGTCTTTACCTTAATGTAAAAAGCTGTTTTCGGGAGTGTGATGTTAATTATTTCACCTGACGCCTTCCCTGCAGCAGCATTCACAGGTATTAAAAATAACTATATGGAAATAGTCTATGTCTATGCTGATGGTGTTTGCTCAGTTAATTTGTAAAAATGTATTATCATTAATTTCAGTCATATTCATAGTCAGTCAGAAAACTCCTCATGGAAGAGTTAACATGCAGCTGTAGTGTTTCTGATTTTAATGGGCTGCTTACAGTATCAAATGCAGAATCAGTAAGCTGAGTTCTGCTCATTCTGGACAGGTGACCTGCAGCTTTTCTGAGGATTTGCCTTAGGGTTAGGGTATAGTGCTGTTAAAGAAAACACTCGCAGCGCTCGTCTTATATTTCAGGAAAAACAGGTTGCTGTAAATGTTGTTTTTGAATCCCCCTCCTGTTGCTGTTAGAGGACTCGTGTGGACCCTCCTAGTGTGTCAGTGTGAGTGTGTATTCCTCTGACAGCTCTATAGTATTGCACAGTTTATTTTAATGCATTTACCACCTAAATATGTGAGTGTTGTGGAAGCAAACACTACAGCTGCATAAAGACAGGCATTGATAAAGATAAAAGGCAAGAAAGCCAAAATAATATGCCAGTAATGCAGAACAGGCAGATTCCTCTGAAGGCTTAAACCTCAGGGTGACAAACACACGCTCTCTCTCACACACACACACACACACACACACACACACACACACACACACACACACACACACACACACACACACACACACTCACACACACTCATGGAAAAACACACCTGTCTGCAGCGTACACTCATCTCTGCTGATGGTAAATGCATGAATCACATCCCAGGCACTGACGTATCTCAACAGATTCTCCCACAGCAGGTATTGACGCAACACCTGTAATGTTGCCACACATGAGACCCCCCCCAGCCCGTCTAACTAGGAGATTCTCACGCTTAGAGGTGCATGTGTGATCAACCAGATCAGATTTCAGGGGAATTCTGTCTGAAATTCTCTAGAAATTGGCTTTGGATGGATTGCTATGGATTTGGTATTTGTTTCCGTTTCAGGAGGAAATGTCGACAGCGGAATTTCTAATCTAGTAACATCACCAGGTCAAAAATACTTTGGTAACTATGGTAACTACCAAATACCTGCAAAATACACTAAATTTCCAACAACTCAACTGTACCCAGTGTTGACTTCTAATTAGCAAGGGTTAGCATGCTAACTCTTCATCCTCACCTACAAAGCCCTCCATAACCTGGCTCCCCCCCCCCACCTGTCTGAGCTCCTCCACCGACACACTCCCACACACACTCTCAAGGTCTGCTGATGCAAACCTCCAGTCCACCCCCTGCAGGACAAACCATCGGTCCTGGGGGGGACAGGGCCTTCTCCATTGCCGCTCCCACCCTCTGGAACCCACTCCCAAAAAACATTAGAGACTCCAACACACTCACTTTGCTTCAAGCAATCCCTAAAAACTCACTTCTTCAACATCGCCTACAACGACTAACAGTCTCAACTCTCATCCTCCTTCTTTTACATTATATCTTCGTTGTTTTGTTTTTGTTGTTATCCCTTGTTGAGCGTCTTTGAGTATTTAGAAAAGTGCTGTAAAAGTCTAATTTATTATTATCATAATATACTTAGCTAAGAAAGGGACAAACATTAAACCTGCTTGACAGCTTGCTGATATAAGCATTTAGCTCAAAGCCCTGATGTGATAAGTAGGGAGAATTTGGAAAGTATTGGGACTGTGTAATTGTGCTTACTTCTTGAATTGAAGCAATTGGTGCTGAGAGCTTAACTGCAAAAAAAGTGTAATTTTCTAATTTCTAGTCAAAAATATTCTCTTGCACTTATTATCAGACAGATTCATCTGACAAGTCCAGATACACATCTTAAAGGTGCAGAAAGCAAAGACATGAGCATGCTAATATTCAAAACTGAATTGTTTATTAAAAAGGACCAGATGTGTCACCACATGGTCAGCCATGTTGTGAATTGATAGATAAGTAAATCCATGTGAAATCCATTTGCTCAAATTAATTTCCTGTGCCAGCTGTTTTTCCTCTAAATAAATTCAGAGTAAATCAATCATCAGCATCACCTGATGCCAAGAGCAACACTATAAAAAAACACAGTGTTGATGAATCACATTGTCCACGTTTTGAGATGGCAAACAATACACTTACAGCTTTATGCACAAACAGGAATGTCAAATATCTTTATTGAATTTGGCAACATGTTGGAAGAAATTGGCGTACCTGCTTGTAGATCAAAACTATGGAAGCCCAAAGAGGACATGCATACATACATTTTAATTTACTCCATTTTCAGAATCAGAATTAGAAATTGTTTATTAATTCCGAGGGGGGAAATTAATACATCTATGTTCTTTTCTCAAAATCTCCACTTATCTTGTTTACCTGAGATAACAATGCTGTTTTTTCCCCAGTCGTTTTCTTGAGAATTTAACCTTACAAGAAAACCAGTGTAGTAATCTTGAGGTAAGAAAGTCACACAGCCAACTGCTCTGGCATGTACTGTATAGGCCTACCACAGTGTTTTTAGTCGTTTTTGCAGATCCATGTGCAAAACGTTGTTGTCTGAATCCAGACCTTTTCTTGAACGACTCCATTATCGGTGGATTTTTCTCGTGTAAACAAGGTCCAAGTCAAGATCTTGAGATAACTGGAAATGACTCGTTATCATAGAACAAAACTGAGTAAAAAAAATATTGATTTATGTCCACTTAGGGCTTCCGTACAAAACAAGCTGTTCCCTCTGTTTTCTTGTAAACCATTCAATAAAGGCGGGGTCCGTGTGTGTGTGTGTGTGTGTGTGTGTGTGTGTGTGTGTGTGTGTGTGTGTGTGTGTGTGTGTGTGTGTGTGTGTGTGTGTGTGTGTGTGTGTGTGTGTGTGTGTGTGTGTGTGTGTGTGTGTGTGTGTGTGTGTGTAAAATGAGATTGCTGGAGGACACCACTGACACATTGTAGTCCGTCCACATCAAACAGATCAGCACATTTGATCTGTGAACAGACAGCCAGAAGGAGAGAATAGCTGATAGCTGAAAAACTAAATATATTTTGTGGTTTGCATTAAGACAGTGTGACACACTATACATCGCGTGTAGACTGCTTTTTTTTGTCCCGGATGTTTTTTCCTGTGGACTCGTTGAACGTCTCGAACTGTCCAGACATGAAAGTAAACCTCTGTGTGTTTCCTTTGAAAGTTTATGTCGAGCAACTAGTTAAGCGACATATCTTCATTTGTTTTCTGCTCCACTGATAGACAACCAGTTTACTCTCTCCTCCCTCTTTCCTGTCTTCACCCTGTGTGGACTCTTTAAACCCCATCTGTGCTCCTCGAGCCTTAACATTACAATACTACATATTCTGTTGTCATTTAACCTTCTTGTTCCTGACAGGACCCATGCAAGTGAAGCTAATAAATGACAGACTGTTTGTAGTCCTTGTAGGTGAATTTTGTAAATTTCAGACAGAGGCTAAAAGCTGTTTTACTGTTTATGTTAAGCCAAGTTAACTGACAGCTAGCTGCTTCCTTTTTACCCTCAGACAGGCGTCTAAAACATGGTTAGAAATGATAAAAGCAAAGCTCAGACTCACATTAAAGACAATTCAAGTTTGTTGTTTCAAAGGTGAGACTAGGACAGAGATGTTTTTGAGTTGTTTTCCATTCACTTTAGCCAGCGCTAGTAGCAATACAGGTAGCTTTAAGCTACAGTATTGGACTTAAGCAAGGTTAAGCAAGGATTGATTTGCAAGGCTAGACCACATTCTTTGGCGGCAGAGGTCTAGCTTCTTTTCTTGTTCTCGCTTTAAGCTAACAAATTGGCAAGAGCATGTTTCTTTTGCAAAAATGACAAACATTTGATCTCTTGACCTTCTCCTTTTGTAGAACTATAAGTACCGTAAATAACTTCAGGTCAAGATTGAAGGTCAAAGTTAACTAATTCCAGCAGCTTTTGAGCTGGTAATGGTTTTCAAAGGGTCACGGGTTAAATTAAACAAGTTCATATATAGACATTTGCATGATTGGTGGAATGAATGTGATTATTGAATATGTGGTGTAGTATCTCTTTCCCTTTACTCATATCTAATGGTCTTCCTCTTTTATTTCCAGTGATACAGGGGGGCTTTGTGGATCTCCCTTCAGAAGATCCCATTCGCTCCTTAGCTGAAGAAGAGACTGCCCTGCCCTGTCGTTACAAGCCATCTGGTGATGATGTGGTGGTGCAGGTGACCTGGTATAAAGAGAGCGCTGATTCAAGCAAGGAGCAGATCATCACTGCACATCACACAAATGGACAGACAGGTTGGTTGGCAGCGTTTATTATCGGTTTCTTGAGGCCATTTTGTCCTTTAAGGCAAATGTTCACAACCATGTTTGTGTGTAAATGAACTGTGGTTTGTGAGAGACTCTGACAATTACCACAGAGTGTAGTCAAGGACACAACAACTCAGGCTTGTGCAGTTTATTTTTTGCTTTTTTGTGGTGTCTTACACCCACAGTGAGTGTGAGACATGCTGGATAGGATGGTGAGATAATTTCCCAGAATGCTAGACTTTTCTAGCGAGAGTGCAGGCATGTGCATGTAACTGAAAGTGACTAAACACACCCTGAGGTTTATCTTGAACTAGCTACCCTTTATATTTTTTCTCACATGGTCCTCTAACTCTCTCATTTTCTGTCTCTGTCTCTCAACCTCTTCGTTTTGCCTCTGTGTAGCGTTTGGGTCGTGGTCTCGACATGTGCGCTTCAAAAGCAGCGACCCCACCGTGGACTCGTCTCTGGTCATCATGCACACAGAGGTCTCTCATGAGGGGAAATACATCTGCCACATCAGCACCTTCCCATCGGGCAACTTTGACACGGAGTTGAACCTCATCGTGTGGAGTGAGTCCCTCAGTCGAAGTTCTGCTGTACACTATTAAAAATGAATAGCTAAAACGAGTGTTTTAATGCAGCAACGGGAGCACATCGTCTACAAGGATCTAAAGTGATAGTAAATGCAGAGAGGATGGATATGACTGTCAACAGGCTTTTTGTTTATCAAGGATACTAAATGACTAATATTGAGGTTACATAGAATAATAGCAACATACTTTTTTCACCTTATCTGTCTGTAATTCTTCTACATGGTAAATTAACCATTTTTGACAGTCCTTATAAGGTCATGACAGCTGGAACAGGAAACCGTGGTTTATATTATCAAGGCATTCATGATAGTAAACCCCTTATACTGTAGCACCTAATGCCTACCTAACAAGACTTTCAAAAACATAAAAAGACTTGAGCCGTTTTCACATATGCGCCGTGTAAAAATTGAGGAGATTCCAAGGAAACACAAACCCAGTGACTCCTGAAATTATTTTTTACAGGAACATACATGTAGTGCTTTCACATTTGCACAAAACTCTTTCTCCTGAGTTTCTATTGCATGCACCCCTAGTATTTTTTTTTCCCATGAAGTCGGATTGAGCTGATGTGAGATTATATCAGGAGAATTCACCTCGAGCGAGAGGGATAGAGGTGTGGTGTTTTTTCTCTGCGATTGGTGCATGACCACAGGTTGTGTGCACGCGACCCTGAACGTAATTCAACAGCATGTTTTCTGTTCACTACGTTTTTGTTGATATTCTAATTCTGTGGAACTACAGATAGCTGACAATAACAGATGATAAGAAGGCAAATATTGTCAGTATAGCATCGTATAGCAGACACTGTCGCTTCGTTTGCCACTTCTCAGTGTTTTCTTTTTACGTCATGCCTTGCCTCAGGAAACCCCCCCCCCCCCCCCCTTCCTGTCCTGTCTCCTGCTGTGAGGTGCATGTGTAATCAGGAGGAGGAGGATTTCACCTGAAATTCTCACAAATCTTTCGGAAGTGCAAGTGGAAAAACGGCTGTCTTACTTTTTGCTGCTTCCTTCTTGTTGCTGGAGTGAGTTCACCGATGGTTCACTTTATACAATCTTCACTTTATTGAACTTCAGAACTTGCATTGGCCAAGACTAAATAAAGTACTGAAACTTGTATTGAACAGGTTTTACTTTAAAAGAATGTCAAAAAAAGAGAAAGACTGACTTAAGACGAGTAAGACTGAAAGATGACAGCAGCTGAGGTTTAGCTGTCCTACAACAAAAAGTGACACTCAGAGAGGATAAGAGGTTCAAATGTTTTATTGCAGGCTCTGATTATAAGCAGGAAAAAACAGTCTCTGTATTGCTGTTGAGGGAAAAAGGATAATCCGAGTAGTGGGTGTAAGGAATGGTGGTGATTCTGGTGTCGTTCAGAAGAGCGAGTTACTGGGAAAAAATACAAAAACGACATGCAGTTAGAATCTAACGACAATACGCAAAAGCACAACGGCAATCTAATGATGACTCTTAAAGGGCCGGTGTACCAACGAGAGGCAAAGACAATCTGGCAGCTTGTTGGAAGATGAGGAGGAGGTTAAGAGCTGCTGCAAATGGGCCAAACGATCTGGAGCTGTGAGTGAAGGCCCCAGCAACCACACCTCTGAAAACCAAACAACCAGGAAGAACAGAACCACAAACAACATAGAAGCCCAAACCTAAGAACGCTAGAAATGTAGAAAGACACACCTCTAAAAATAAACCATGACAAAAAAAAATAGAGTCCAAACCATGACAGGGTTGATGTTAAAGCAATATGTCTGTTTTTATTTTTATGCAATCCAGAATCTGGGTATTGAGTAAGTTGAAAAGACTGTTCTTTTTAATATTCTGTAAACTTATTTGTTTGTCTTCCCTTCTCCAGCCGTTCCCATCTCCTCCCTGGACCCTGTGATTCTGGTGGAGGGACAGTCGTACCGACAGGCCGCTTCATGCCGCTCTGTAGCCGTCCCGCCCCCCCACATCTCCTGGGACACAGACCTGAACGGCCAGTCCACCAATCGCACCTCGGACAAAGGATCCGTCTCCTCGATCTACTCCCTACACCCCCTCAGGAACATGAACGGCAAGAAGCTGGACTGTCTGGTGTGGCATCCCACTCTGCCGGGTCCCCGCAGGATAAAAAACACCCTGGTGGTTCACTGTGAGTATGCATCAGGATTACATCACATTTTTTGGTTTAGAGGTCAGCTTGTACTTCATTCAACTTCACTTAGAACCACCGTCCTCATTTGATGGCACTTAATATTCACATATTAAGTGTCTTGACCCAAGGACACATCGGACATGTGGCTGCAGGAGCTGGGGATCAAACCCGACCGACTCTACCAACACATCCACCCGATCATCACTTCACTTAGAAAGAAACTTTAAATGGTGCTGGATGACCTGCTGGTTATGTTGTGCGCCCTATGTACGGAGGCTGCAGTCCTCATCTTAGTGGCCTTGGGTTCGGCTCCAGCCTCCGCCCTCCCTCACTCTCTCCTCCCAACATTTCCTGTCTCTCTTCAGCTGTCTAATCTAAAAAAGGCAAACAGTACTAGATACTAAAAACTTTATAAGCACTCTATCTTTTTACACAAATCCTTCCTGCTGTGGCTGATTACTCATTTTGAATTGTTGTACCTGAGTTTCTTTACCATGTAACATTTTCTATGATTATTGTCAGGTGAAAGGCTGTGAACTTCATTGACGTTTTTTCTAGCTTCTTCTTTAATGTTGCATCTGTAGTTTTCCTTCATAACTGCTTTTAAGCTAAAAACCTGAAAATTCAGCGTTTCTTGTTCCTGCTCTCATATTAATAGTTTAACTCCAACTCATCCGCCTCATATGAACACAGCTGGTTAATAATTGTTTCTCTTTCATGTTCCTTCCAGTCCCTCCACATGCAGAGGTGTCTGGCTACAATGAAGAAGGAGACTGGTCTGTGGGAATGCAGAACGCTGCCCTGGGGTGTGTGACTGGAGGAAACCCCAAACCACACAGTTTCACCTGGATCAGGTAAAGCAGACCCCGCCTCCCTCCCTCCCTCCCTCTCTCTCTCTCTGTCTGTCTGGTACTCCTGTGACTAACTGTCTGATGCGTCTGGACCATGTTACTTTGCTCGTGAATTTCAGAGTAATTAACACAATTATTTTTCTATGATTTCACCAGATAAGAATGCTTCAGTGAGGTTACACTCAGGTCAAAGTAACACTTTATTATCACTCTCGCACTGATGCTAAAAACATGAGTTTAAAATGAAAATGACTCGGGTGTTTTTCATTATTTTTCTACCTGTGATCTATTCTTATATAATTCTGTTGGTTAGACTTCAAAGCAACATCTGCATGCGCTGTGGATCGTCTGCATCCGTTTAAGTAAACTTACTCTTACTCTGTACCTTTAAGAAAAAGCTAAAGACCCAGCTCTTTCATGAATACCTACTAACTTAATGATGATGGTCTCCATATTATTGATGATGATGATGGTTTTTGTTTGATAACGATGACTTATAAGATGGTTTCTATACTGATTAGAGCTCTCAAGAACTGCCCTCAATGTTGTGCTTTGCCTCTGGTCACTTCCTGTCATATTGTGTCTTTTTCAAATTCCTTGCACCAAAGAATCTCAAGAATTTAACATTTTAAATTAAGCCACCAGACTTTGAATCCCGAGTTGAATGAGGTCTAACCTACTCATCGTATCCTCTTGCGGCACTGAAATTGGGAAACTTGACCTACTTTATTGTAAACTCCCACAATGAATACATTAAATTGTGTCTCTAACATCTCAGTCATGCTAATAAACAGCATGCACTTCAATCCCTCTGCCAATCTCATCAGTTATACTGTCTCCCTGATTTGTTAGACAGGAAACATATTTATATACAAAAGACAAAATGAATGTAACTGGAGAACATCTCAGTTGTAACTTTTGAGATTTTAAATCAGAGCAGTTAAGGCTTAAGTTAACCTGTAGACCACTGACTAATAGTTGGCCTTTATAATCATCAAAGAATGAACTTGTGCTGCTTTGATAAGAAAAAAAGGTTGCTTTCAGTTTGTGCCATGAAAAGATTGACACCACTCTCGTGTGTCTGTTAAATATGAAGCTGTAGAGCTGGCAGCTAGGGCTCCACTTGGCCTCCCGTAGTTCACATCCTCCCCTCCCCCCCCCCTTCTTTCACTTCCGACACAGTCACTGGGTGGCCCCAGGTATGTGTAATGGCATTTCTGCATCTCTGCCACCCAACCACAAGTATTCTGCTGAAGTCGCTCTGCCAAATATGTTCTTGTTCTGTTCCTTGAAACGGCAAAGTGTCACTTTTAAAGACAAGTTTACAGCTTGCACTTTAACCCCAGAAGAGAAATTCAGGTTTCTTTTTTTCATCCTTTTGTTACATGTTATTGATACAATGAAAGCAACACTTATTTTTAGTCATTCCATTGTTTAAAATTTATTTTTTACGGATTAAAATCATAAATTAAGTTTGTTTTCCAAAAATCAAAATGTTACTTTTAGGCTGTAATGCCCAGCCCTTCAGGCAGCCATTTAATTGAACTTTGCATAAAGACAGACTAGAGACATTTCAGTGAGACACTTAACTTAACTTTTTTTCAGAAAAAAACAAATGTCACAGGGGTCGAATATGTTTTAAACATTTCTTGTTAAGTAGAAAAACTGGCCTCATACGAGTGGATGTCACTTGATCACTGATAAACTTGTTATTGAACTTTCTCTCATGCAGCGTAGACGGTGCTCCACCCTTCTTACATGTCTTAACTAAACATGTCCTGACATTGTCACATCCTCATTCTGCTGCCTCAGTCTTCTCTTGACAATGTTTTTGTGTGTCATTTTTAAAATGTGGCACATCGCTGCCCTGCTCTGATCCCCGGATGGAGGGGTTTGACTCAGCTCTTTCTTCTGCTTCTTGAGTCACCTGCTGTTGTCTCTGTACCTCGCTTTTGGTGCGTTACCGTACTCTTCAGGGTGTGGTATGAGAAGCGACAGTTAGGCCCAGAGGGAGAAATACCTCACACATTAAACGTTTCATTTAAATGTAAAGAAATGGAAGTTAGAAGTCTGGTGAAGTTTAATCTGATTTTTGCCAAATGAGAATGTACTTATTACACACTGTTAGTCACAGGAACACACCTTAGGAAATCAGTATTTGTGAGTAAGGCCCACCACACACACACACACACACACACACACACACACCACACACACACACACCACACACCACACACACACACACACACACACACACCACACACACACACACACACACACACACAAGTCAGCACTCAAATCTCCAGTTACAATCAACCTCTTCTTACTCACGCACGCTTTTCACACCAACACACACACACACACACACACACACACACACATCTGTAGCAGCAGCAGCAGCGGGCGAACCTGTTGGCTGTGTCAATAAAAGGCGGCAGGTGAAGTAAGAGCTGGTGTCACAGTGTCGTGTTGCAGCTTGTGCGCCGAGCAGGCAGAGGAGACAGTTTCACACGAAGGAGGAGGGAGGAAGAGGGGGATGAGGAGAGGAGAGGAGAGGAGAAAGGGATGAGTCGCTCCGATAAGGGGGGGGGGGTGAAGAGGTGGGGGCAGGGGTGAGACACGGGGCAACAAGAGGAGGAGAAAGAGGAAGCTAAATGTGTGGATTAGTGCGAGGTGTTATCAGCGGTGTGACTACTGCTTATGTAAAAACACACACAGTTCCTCTTTTCTGCTAGTGGTGAAAAAAGTGCACTGTGTGTAAGCTATGGCGGTCAGTCAGTGTCACCTATGTGTAACAGTGCAACTTTGAACTCTATATATAGTAGTATATATATACAGTATATAATAGTATAATAATGTCAACGCACCAGGTATTTCTAATATGCTTGTGTTGACAACAACAGGCAGCGAGCATCAGATCTATTGAGACTGATTAAATGAAAATGCAGTCAAAACAACAACACTGGGGCAACACCCCGGACTGTTGCTCATCCAAAACAATGACTTCTTATTTTCACTGAGTCACACACACCAAACATGTTATTGGAATATCTCTTTTATTTTGAGTGAACATAAATGCATAATTCTGCATTACTGTCCTCTAGGGATGTTAATGAAATGCTTTCAGATCTTTTCTGAACATTTTATGGTGATGGTGGTTTTTATGTGTACAGTTTGGTCTGACATGAAAAGCAGGAAGTGGCCGCAGTCACAGGCAACGTGCCTGAACAAAGAAACTGCACCTCCTACAGAAACTTGAAAAACTTTGTGTGTGACAATAACTTTTATGAGATTATTATTTTTTTTTAAAGATTTTTTTTGGGCTTTTCGTGCCTTTTTAATTCAGAGAGAGGACAGTGGATAGAGTCGGAAACCAGGGAGAGAGAGCGGGGAACGACATGCGGAAGGGGGCCACGGGTGGAAGTGAACCCTGCTGCTTGAGATGAGAGTCTCAATACATGAGACGCACACCCTAACCATTGCGCCACCAGCGCGCCCCATACAAGATGTTTTTTATACACTGTTTACCCAGATCCATGCGTCAGTCTCTAAATAAAACACACACACCACTAAAGCCAATCAGAATGGAGCAGCAGCTATGAGTGACACTGATGTGTCAAGTTGCTCTACCACTGAAACCAATTACTCACTTCCTCTTCTAAAGAAAAAGAAAAAGACCACAACAGGTTGGTTGTTCAACATGACAATTGTTCTGCTCAAGGTTTTTTTTTTTTTTTCTCAGCTTGGATGTTTCTTTTGGATAATTTCCTGTAAGAGGAATTCAAGAAATGTTGCAAGAAGGGGTCCCTGCCAGAGACAAAAACTATATGGGGTAGCACAGCAAAGTACAACTATCTCAGAATGACACCTCTTTAATGAACATGAATAAATAAAGTGAAAAAATGTGTCACGGTGAGAGGGACAGATCATTTCTATTCTACTATTGTTAATTCTGTCTCTATTGTTTGATGCGGTGGCTTTGCAAAAAATCATGTCCAGATTGCATGAATTAAATTGTAACTAATTAAAAAAGCATCGCATCATTTTCTAAAGATAAGAGGTGGGAAGAAAATTGATATATGTAAAAATCGATTTTAGCCCAAAATAAATGTTAAAAAAAAAAATTGATTTTAAATCGAGTCATAACTTCCAAAAATATATTTTTTTGGTGGCTAATCAGTCACTACTTGCTAAGTTGCTAAGGCTAGCTCTTTAAAGGAGCAGCCAAGAAATTCAGCCAGTCTCACAGATGACTGGAGTAGATCCTGAAGTATGTACTAAATCATAAATAGACTTTATGAATCCATGGATCAATGAATCCAGAATTATTTTGAATGGAATCCTGACCCCAAGAATCGAAATCAAATCGTGAGACACCCAAAGATTTCCAGCCTTAATAAAGATTATAAGATGTTGCACCTTTTCTCATTTGCAAAAAGAGCGCCTTGCTTCACAAATAGAGACATCGTGTATATACACCACACCACCCTGTCATCTTTTAGCATCCCTTTAAAGTTTCTTTAAATGTTTCACATAAAACTAAACATGTAGTAGATCTTTAACCAAAAAAAAAAGATGTAACATGACTTTGTTTCTTTTTTGTGTGCAGAATCGGTGGAGAGTTACCAGAAGGTGTGATCCCCCACCCGAATGGAACATTAGTCTTTGGCCGACCCCTGAGCTCCTCAGACGGAGGCACCTATCAGTGTGTGGCAAAGAACAAAGTGGGCGTCGGGAAGGCGGAGGTGGAAATTGATGTGATAGGTATGTGACAGCACCGTCATCCACATCACAAACTAAACTCTGTCATAGTAATAACAACTACATTCATCTAATCCTGCCAATTTGCCCACTGACGCTCTCGCTCTGCAGAGACTCTCAAGCAGGGGACATCACCCGAAGACATGGTGATGATGATCGTAGGGGGCGTGGCCGGCGGGCTGCTGATCCTGATGCTTATCGTCGTCATCACCGTGACCTGCCACCACAAACGCAAGAACAAGAAACTGAAGCAGGAGCTGACTGAGAGGAAGTAAGCCCAGATAAACATGACGTGTAATTTAGATGAGATAAGATGAAATTTTAATGATCTCCGCAGGCGGGGAAGCCAAAGAGAATAACTAAGAATGAAGCAAATCGGCGCTATTTAGAAGATTACAAGTGACAGTTACAAGTGTAGAGTGTGTAAAATAGAATTAGGGCAGGGAAGTGTAAAATTCAGTTACAACACGATCATGTTTTTTTAAGATGCGCAAGTAGAGAATCAAAACAAGAATGAATAGGACCTTAAAAAATTAAAGGAACGCAGTGTGAACGTCAGGAGGATCTCTGACTTTTTCTTCCATCATTTACATATTTCCTTCTTCCTCTCTCTATCTCTCGTTTCTCACAGGGAGGAAATAAGCACTCTCTCCAGGCAGGCCTCTTTCAGGAGGATGAACTCCGTCAGCACAGATGTCAGAGGAACCGTAAGATCACTAAATTATTATTTTCACACTCACCTGCTTGCACCACCATATTATGTTTTTTTTTCCTCTCATGTCTGCACAGCGCGAACCCAGGGTGCCAGACTTTGACGCCCTTTATCAGAGTCATGCTGGTCCCATATGTTTTGCACCATCACATTATTTCTTATTTATACATTAAACTGTGATGAATCATAATACTGTGCTCTATAAATGTCAGTTTGCTGTAATGGGAAATAGCTAAGTGGGTTTCAAAATAAGATGAAAAGGCTTGGTGAAGTTTGAGGATGTCCTTATTTCTAGTCCCACTTCTAATCTACCCCCCTGTTTGATTCCATTGCAGACAGAAGAAAACATCCCACTGAGGGTTGAGGGAACCACGAGGACCAGCCTGTCATCCCTTGGGGTCAGTCTACATATCTCTCTATCTCTGCATGCAAAGCCAGGGCTGGTGACTGAGGCGTTACCGTCCAGATGTCAGATGGCTAAGTTCTGAGATTCAACATTTCATATCTGAATGTACTGCATCTCAGATATTAACCTTTGGACTACTTCTGTGTTCTTTGATCTTGTTTAATCTCTTATTTCTTAAACTGTAATGTATGTTTTTCTTCATCTTTTTAAAGTTGCTCATTCTTTTCTCCTTAATTGTGCTTAAAGGAACAGTTTGACTTTCAGGGAAAGGCACTGACTTGCTTATTTTTACTGGAAGGTTGATGAGAAGATTGATACCACACTTACTGTCTCCTAATAAGAAGCATAACAAGAGCTTGTAAAATAAAATTAGATTATTTTAGCATAAAGACCACAAATGGGGGAAACGATTAGAATGGTTCTATAAACTAGTAACCGTAGGCTATTCACCTACGCAAAAAGCACACACGTCTTGCTGACGTCGGCCTCAGAATGGCACACTGGCCCCCTATTTATAATGTCTGACAAGCATCGGCTGTATAGACACATTGTCCAAGATCACCAAACGTCAGAAAATCTCAAACGCTCAAGAGTAGAAGCAACATTCTTAACTTGGTGTGTATTTATGAAACACTCATATTTACTGTCTTTACGTTGAATGAGAAGAGTGATACTGCTCTCATATCTGTCCGTTCAATATGAAGCTACAGCTCAGCATGAAGACTGTAAACCTTGAAGGTTTGCTGTGACCTTAATACAACTTTAAAAACCTCTCAAGACACTTTCTTCATAGACCTGTGTCTTTTTATTTAATCAGCACAAAGAAATCTGTGAAAATCAACAAATTCTGGTTTTGGATAAGGTCTCATTGTCATGGCGTCCAGCTGAGTGATAGCCCAGTGACAACCAAGTCTTGGTACCCCAGAGCTCCATGTGATAAATCCCCCCCCCCTCCCAGCAAACAGACATGAGAGTTTTGTTTATTCAATTCTGTCAAAGAGCAGAGAGAAAATTGGAAAATGTAGTTTGTACAAGAGGTGTTAAGGTAAACAGAAAGAGTAAACACCCAGCTCAGAAAAGCTGTGTAGAAGCTAACCACTCCTGCTGTCAGAAGCATTATTTCAAAGTACACAGTTTAAAATATATATTTTCAAAAGTCATTTATTTGCAATAAAGTAAATGACATTGATCATGACTCTGCTTACTTGATATAAAAAGTGTTGCTGCTGTATCACTTCAGGGTGAAAAACCACATTGCTATCAGTGCACCTGATCTGTGTGTGAATACTGATCAGTGTCTTTTCCTGCACTGACAGGAGCAAGCTTACTGCCGTGACAGCCGATCCACAATCTCTGGTGGGCGTGGAGGAGGAGGAGGAGGATTGCTGCTGTATCACTTCAGGGTGAAAAACCACATTGCTATCAGTGCACCTGATCTGTGTGTGAATACTGATCAGTGTCTTTTCCTGCACTGACAGGAGCAAGCTTACTGCCGTGACAGCCGATCCACAATCTCTGGTGGGCGTGGAGGAGGAGGAGGAGGAGGGGGAGCGTTCGACTACCTGGGCCGACCAGTCCTGCACAACAACTCTCGGCGGGGGAGGGAGCGTCTTCTGGATAGAGACGAGGAGAACCGACTCCGAGTGGAAACATATGTGAGAAACAGCTCTATATCTTTGGTAAGAGTGTCTTAGTGCGTTTGTGTATCCGGGCAAGTCAAAGCCTGACTTATTAACCTCTGCATACTTTCTTGATGATGATGATGATGCAGTTAACAAGTGTGTCTGCTCCGCGTCTTTACATCAGGAAACCCGTTTTCCACCCTCCTCTCACGCCGTCACCCTACCCGGTTGTACAGTCCACCGAGATCGTCAGGCAGCTAAACGGCAGCGTCATCATCCCACTCGAAGGGGGTTCAAGGCCGGGAAGTGTCACCAGGATGAACCCACAACCCCCTCCGAGCTGCACCTACCCGCCTGTGACAGACGATGAGGATGAAGTGGATGAAGGTCTGGGTGGTCCCGCCAGTCAGGAGCATCCTGAAGATCAAGACAGCGAGACAAACAGCTCCCAGGTGTCGGACGCTCACAGTACTCGCTATCTGCAGACTAACGGCATGATCAGACCCAAATCTCGACTGAGCCCGAATGGGGTGAACCCCCATGCCTCCCTGATCCACAAGGCCCAGATAGTTTAGCATGACATTGAAAACTACATGAGTGGCCGGATCTCTGGCTTGGAGGTGGTTTAATGGGGGATTCACTGGAAAAAGGTGGTCAGAACCCGTGTTCTACATATCACCACTTGACTCCAATGATGCATCTTCTTTATTGTGTGGGAACATGGTGCAATAGAACCAAGTCTTCAAAGGAGAAAATGTACTCCAAAGCATCTCCAGGACTCTTCTGTACATCTGCCTACTGTTGATGAGGTGTGGTGTTAATCTACCTGCACTACAGACGTTTAAAAAAAAAAAAGACACTGTTGCAATATTTTCAGTGCAGTTACATTACGACATTTAATTTCCTCCTCAGCAACACAGACCTTGTTGCTCTTGTACGCTCTACCTAACAGGTGTCTGCAGTTCACATTCCTCTCGTGGGGGATGTCGAAAGCACTCAATGACAGCAAATCAGGAAATGCATGTATAATACTTGAGGATGTTAGTACATCAGAAGAGTGCATTGCGACACCTCGATACAGAGGGTGGATTTCTTTTTTTCCTCTGGTGTTGTTTTCAATTTACCAGTAACTGTGCCGGTGTTAACTTCTTGTACTTGCACAACGCAGTTTGGGATTTGATCCAAAGCAATGGGCTGGTTCCTCACTAGCCACACCTGGAACATGCATACCTCTCTGTATTGTCTTACTGTCCTCATGCCTTTGCCTAAAGCACTGAGACAGTTGGGATTAGATAAAGACATCACACCGCCAGAACGTGACTAAGGAGTCCTTTAAATGTAGTCATTCTGAGATTTGTAAATCTGTACAAAGGTGTAAATAATTCCCTCAAAAATATACACAATATTATAGATTACTGCTTTTATTTATTGCCTGAGTTTTTTCAACCATGTAAAAAATCTTTAACATTGACACTGTAAATAAATCTTTAACATGACACACAAAGTCAAACAGAGTGCATTGTGAACCTTTACACATGCACACAAAAGCTGCCAAATATTTGTACAATACATTTACATTTTCAATGTTTTAATTTTATTGGATAATGTGTCATTGTGTTGCTTGACATGGCTACTTTATCAAAAGACTCTTACACCAGGACAGGTCAGTGGATAGGGTAAAACACCTGGGAGAGAGAGAGTAAGAAAGAGGGGAGCCAAAGGTTGGACCAGGAACCGGGCCGCCAGCACATGGGCGCCACCCAACAGCTAGGCCATCCATCCAATGAGACATTGGACTCTTACATCGGAGACCATGAGACAAAAAAGCAACCACTGCCATGGACACACTATCTGTGATTTGTCAAGTTTCTCCTGCCAGCTGTATTATAGAGTTTTAAAAAAAAAACGGGGAAAGAGAGAGGGGAATAACATGCTGTTGCATATTTTTTTTAAATATTTGGGCAAAACCAAGTTTGTTTTTATCTGTGGAACACTGATTTTACAACTTTGTTTATACTTTATATGTGCTGGGTAGAGTAGGAAACCGGGGAGAGTAAGAGAGAGAGGAGAGCGACATGATGGAAAGGAGCCAATGGTCGGACCAGAACTTTGGCTGTCCGTACATGGGCATGACCCAACCACTAGGCCATCCAGTGCCCCATTGGACTCTGACACCAGAGACCATGAGACAAAAAAGCAACCACTGCCCTGGACACACCACATATCTGCCATTTCTCAAGTTTCTCCTGCCAGCTGTATTTTTATGAATTCCCAAGAGCAGTAAATGACTTTCCAAGAGGAATGTGACATCAGCTGTTACATTTTTTTTTTTATATATTTGGGAAAACAAGTTTGTTTGTTTGTTTTTCTTTGTGAACCACTGATTTTATGTCGTTGTTCATACTTAATGTGTGCTGAGTATTGGTGGGCTGTGTTACAACCCTGAATTGGGAATCAATGTGCCAAAGGGAAAATATAAAATATTTTGCTGGTTTGGCAAATATGAAGTATTATTTAGTTTTTTGAGTTACCTTCTGTAATTTCTATTTTCCAATGTAAATGTAAAAAAAGACATCAGCGTTACAACTGTTGATTTAAAACTCTGCTTTTGGCTGAGGATAGCTTTGGCAGTGTCAAACAGGTGAGCTCAGCAGTTGGTGGGTGTGATGTGTGGATGTAGTTTGTATTTGTTGTGGACTGTGCCCCCTGATGTATACTGCTGGATAGTGCAGGGACCTGAATGAGCCTTCAAACTGCCAAACTATGACAGACTCTGCAATCCACTGTGACTATGCTCTTCCTCCTTTATGCGTCTGGATTTTTGTTTACTTTGAGGGCTATGTGGGCTGTCACCTTGTGTTGATTGGTTGAAATAAATGTGCATGTTTTTCCTTAATGTATGCTGTTCAACACGTTGTCGAAGCTAACATGAGCTTTAGTGGATAAAATTGGATAGTTTAACCTGAAACCTTTTCTGGTTTGTTGGAACACTTTTAAGGCGTTACAAATGTGAACTGTCCTGGGAAGGTTCAGAAAAAACTACAAAGGGAAAATTGAACTATGGGCTCAAAGACCAGTTTCTATCTGTTTAACCTGCTGTATTATTCAGTAACAGCTACACCTTTATGGAGTGTTCAAAGAGCCATAGCTTTAGAAAATTTAGGCACAAGATATCATAGAGCACTGATTCCCAAAGTGGGCCCCATGGCCTCTGGGGTGGGGTGGGGGAGGCTGAGGTTTATGGCAGGCTAAATAAAAAAAAATGCACACTGTTTTGCACTGCCAGCAAAGCATGGCAACGTGTGTGAGAGGACTTCCAGGGAAAAGAAAGCTGACAATGATTCAACACCCGACGCCACAACTACTAAAACAAAGACGAGAAAACATGACAGGTCTCGCCCTCGGCTTCCCCTGTATAATGGTGGGTGGCCCTAATGAAGAGAGCCAAAATCCTTCCTTTCGCCACATCCTTACTGAGTGAGTTTTTTCTGCAGTTGCCTCAATCAACACAAAGTACAGATAATTGAAAAACAACCAAGAGCAGCAGTGTTATACCTTAACTTGAAAAGATCTGTAGAAAAAACAAGCCCACACTAGTAATTTAAATTATTGCAGGACTAGAGGTATAAATCTTATAATAATACTTTCATTAATTTTTTTTTTTTTAGGGAGTCATAGGGCGTTAGGGTGTCAATGTCAATGTGGAAATATTTTCATCCATCAAAGTTGGGCCCGCCAGAAAAAATGGGGGAACCTCTGAGATAGGCAATGGTCAGCCTCAAATAGTAGTTATTCCAGACACAGTCCCAGGAAAAGGTGGTGAAAGTAACAGCAGATGAAGGTGATTGAATTGACAGAAATTGATTGCCTCATGGTGATTTTATGAAATTCAGACATGATGACTTTGGTTTGACCAAAATATCTTTCCACATACGTGTGTTAAGCTACTTTTAATAAACAACAAGAGATCCTGCATTGAAATGAATGTCTGTAACAAAAGGCAAATATTCAATTCTCTTTCTGTCTGAATACACCTGAAGAATTTTCCCATGGGCCTGGGCCAGTCCAATTTAGGATGGGCCTACCAAGTTGTCATAATGTATAAAGAGTTTTAACTTTTAATAGTGTAAGAGTTTGGTGAACAGCCCTGTTTTACAAAAGGGTCCTTAATATGTAATTATATCATTGTTGTACTTAAAAAGTCATTTCATATGAGGGACAAAAAATGACTAAAGTATAAATAAATAAATAAAGGAATAAATAAATAAATGTTGGGAGAAATGCATACAATAATGTATATATAAATAAATAAATGCATCAATAAATATATAAATAAATATATTAATATATTTCTGTGTCCAAGTTGTACAAGGAAAAGTAAATATGTAATGTAATACTTTTCCTCTTATGACCTGGACACAGAAATAAATAGATGTGTAAATGTAAAAATACGGAAATAAATTAATAACTCAATTAATGTGGAAATGTATGCATTGATACATATATAACTGTAGAAATACGCTAATAAATGAATAAATACATGTAAAAATACATAAATAGCCTTTTTCATTAACAAAGTGTGTTTATTATTTATTCATTGATGAATTGTTTTCAGCATTTATATATTTATTGATGCATTTATTTATTATTTATACATTATTGTATGCATTTCTCCCAACATATATTTATTTATTTATTTATACTTTAGTCATTTTTTGTCTCTCATAATTTAAAGACTACATACATTAGCACCATTAGCACACAAACTATTTTGACTAAGCCCGGAAGTGAGTAATGAATGACGTCAGGCAGAAGGCGGAAACAGATCTCGACAGCTAAGATGGCGGAGGAGCAGCAGGAATCATCACAGGGAGAGATGGAGGGTGAGAGAAACCGTCACAACACAAACATAAATGAAAACGACGCGGGTACTTCTCTCAGTAATAAAGCCCACACACCTGTACGTGAGTCCGCTCCGGTGACTCAGCTGTTGTCCTCTCAGGTGTGAAGGTTGTTGACATGCAGCGGTGAGGCCACACAGCTTGTTGGCTAACGCTAGCTTAGCATGTCGCTGCTACACAAAGAAAAAAACGCTTGTTTAGTTACTTTCAGAGCAACGTTGAATGACAGCCCGAGGACTTTTAATATAAGGATGTGTCTGAAGTAATGGTTCATTTTTTAAACACGGGACGTCCCCTCTTTAATACTTTAACGACGTTTTTCGTCGTGAGCAGAATTTGTTTTTGTTTTTCGCACAGGTCGAGGTGGCTAAGTTTAGCAGACTGACGTCAGCTGCTGTGTGGATTAAACTTGTTTCTATGACAACTGACTGAGAGGTCAAAGGGTCAGAGTAACTTATGGTCACTGAAGATGTTAAAAAATACAATAAGAAACTGTAGATGTCCTATTAGATGATGAATAAATGAAATCACCTGGAAAGCAAATTCAGTGGAAGCTGCATCATTTCCCACCTGGTGTTCACCTCTAGTTTCTGGTGCTTTCTACACTTTGTAAGTATAGGATCACAGAGAGGTTTGTTGTTTGGAAACATGATTCCAATGATTAAAGTTGTGGTTCTCTTTGATGGAGAATGCAGGGCCGTGTTCAGGTTGGTGTCCAGGGCTGTCCCTCTGAAACCTACTGGTCCACCCTGAAATCCAACACAATACCTCTTTGCAGACTGCTTTTATTTTTTGCAAAAGTGTGTTGTCGTCGTACATTCATATTGATTCCGTGATGGTGTAATAGTCTCGCCCCAGTCCATGAATTCACATTGCGTTTTGGTGTTGAGGAAGCACGGCTTAGTGGGAGCTTCACTTACACACACAGTCAGACATGCGCACACACAGCACTGTGTTCTGTGCACTGACTCTGCAAAAACGGTCTCGCACCTGTTACACCTCTGAATACAGTGCAGAGAGGGGGAGATTATCCTCCCATTACGCATCTGTGACATTTAGACACTTGCTTGTAATTTTAAAAGCAGATATCAGATCAGAGAGAAAAAGAATAGGGAATGACATGCGGGAAAGGAGCCACAGGTCAGATTCGAACCCGGGCCGCCCGCTTGGAGGACTTCAGCCTCCATACATGGGGCGCGCACGCTCTAACCACTGCACCACCAGCACTTTCAATTTTGATGTGCCACCCCTCCATAATTTTGGACCACACCGTTTGAAACAGTCTGGACAGGCCCCTGAGAAAAATGTTATACCTTGATGGTGTGAACTCTATTCTCTGTTATAACACATTATCAGCATCATCAGGTGACTGTTCAATTGACACCCCCCTACCCTAGGTGAGGCCCGTGCAATTAACGGTAATTGCAATTTCATAGTTAACCTGATAAAAAGCCTTTTCAGCAAACACATCACAAATGTCTGAATCTTTCATAATAAATA